GCGGAAATGCTGACGTATGCGGCGAAAATCAGAGACGACTGCTTACTTGCAGTAGATTTCCTTAGGAAGATACGTTTGGACCTGACAGTGGAATCTTTCTTTAATCCTTCGCGATGAGGAAAAAGGAGGAGACACTGCGTGTCGAGGAGTAAGAAACATCTCAGACAGTCTGGGAAATGTTCCGGAAAATTTGAGGTAGTCTTCTTTTTTTGGAATGCAACTCGCCAGGATTGAACGCCGTAAAAGGATAAAATTGTGATATCCTGCAGCGTGAGATTAATTCTCGGCATATTGAACAGGTCATGAACAGGTCGTTTGGAATGCAAGATGAAAGTCAGAGAGTCATTGAAGAGTCATTGAATTTCTGGGTCATGATTAAGAAAAGAGATAATTCGGTGAGATTGTCGGAAAATTAATGCCGTCATTTATGTTCGTTATCTATTTTGGATCTAAAAAGTGTTTAACGGCAGATAAAAATTTGTCCTGAGGATAAAGAAAAGACGGTATTTCCTATAGAGAACAGTTCATTTTAGGTTATGTAACGCTCCAGCAAGTTTGAATGCTTAATGGAGAAAGTTTTAAAGCCGCTATTGTCGAAAATTTGTTTGGTTTATTTGGATGACGCGACTGTATTTGAGGAAACTCTTGGAGAAAAATATCGGCTAATTTCAGGAAAGTTTTTCGCAGATTACTTTCAGCAAACTTAAACATTAATCCAGGAAAATGCAATCTTTTTAAGAAGTAAGTGAAACGTCTTAGTCATGCTGCGTCTGCTGAAGGTGTTGCCATCGACCCTGAAAAAACTGCTCGGTGTCAGAGTGGCCGATTCCTCAGAATGAAAAGCAGAGATGCGAAGTTTTCTTGGATTTTGCTCGTACTATCGTGAATTTACAAATGGACTTTCCTTGACAGCAAAACCTTTATACGTACTTCCACCGAAGATCAATCCAAGTTCAAGTGGCCTCGGCAATGTGAAGAAGCTTTTAATAAATTAAAGCGAGCTTTCACTACGTCTTCAGTGTGCGCTCTTTTCCGATAGAAGAAGGAGATATTATCCTTGATACAGATGCTTTGTATCACAGGATTGGGGCGGAGTGGTCATCGCATATTTTTTTAGTCGAGTCTTAGGTAAAAGTGAAGAAACGTTTGTGACTCGACAAGGATTATTAGCTGCGGTGGAATCAATGAGGTCTTTTTATCATTACGGACGAAAGTTTCTAGCCCGAATAGACTATAGAGGACTGACGTCATTCAGAGCTTTAAAAGGACAATTAGCACGTTGATCGGAAAGACATCAACACGGCATGACTTGGCAATTTATCATCCAACTGGACAGTCGGATGTAGGAATGCTGATGATTTATCACGACGTCCTCTCGCGCCGAGGCAGGATGCAAATATTGCTCGCGGGTGGAAATTTTGGACGTTGAAAAGGAAAATGCATCAGCAGCTAGAACAGTCTTGGTCAAGGTAACGAGTCCGAGGAATGGCGCCAAAGGCAGTTGGAAGATCCCGGACGAGCTCTCAACATTGTTGCGCCGCGCGCGCTCTCGGTATCGCGCAACATTCGAGGGGGGTAATTAGCCACGAAATGTAAACGAAAAGAAGAACGTGTTGGCGCGAGGAGACCCGAGGATCTCCACAAAGTCGCAGCCCCAGCCGGTCGGCTGGGGTGCGATCCGCATCCCGGCGATCCACGAGTATACCGAGCGTCACGACACCCGCAACAATACATGTGTATTCGCTTATAATTCTCATTACAAAACATAACAATCTCCTCCTCAGCTTGCGTGTAACTTCCAGTCTTTTGAATCCTTAACTCGAGTCTCTCTCTGCTAAACGTTCACACGGCCTTTCTTGCAGTCGCCTTGCCGCGTTAGGATGCATCACATTCGGCATGCAAACGTTGCCGTGTCCTACGCGATTCACCGTACAACCTCGAGCGTCACCGACTATACCAGCTACTACGTAAACGCATTATATATAAAATATATGTCATAAAACAATGGAAACTCTCTTCATCGAATCCTAACAAACGCGCGAACACGAGTGAGTGTGCGTAATAACATACGTATAGTAAACGTAACTCTGTGCACTCCGATACTGTGCTACTGATACGTCGTCCGAATTGCCGAACGTCACCACGGGATTACATCGACGACAGTCGATAACTAACGATAACTCTAACGGACTAGCTACGATATATCCACCGCTCACGTCGATCAACAGCGCGCGATGCAATCGAGACTCGGCCCTTCTTCATCACACTTTTGTGAAACCGAATGCGCGAGAGTGGTGAGAGTGGAGTGGATATGTGGTACAGCGACTATCGATATGTACATCACACATACACACACACACACACACACACACTGGTATCGTGTATATAACAAGTGATAACGTGATACTGACAATCTAAGGAACTATTTATACTCTCTAATCGTAACATGCGTAAATCCCCTATGATGATACCTTCTAACATATCTACGCGACCAGAGGCCGAGAGAGAGCTGACCTTTAGCGCACTGTTACCGGAATTTCTACGAATTATCGTCCCTCGCTACGGAGGACTCTTCGCCTAATCCATTAGATTAGCCACGAATAACCGCCGATAACCGGGAGCGCCGAGCCCGGGCTCCCGAATAACGAACTCGGGATCGTTAGCTTTTTGCGCAACGATTGTGCTTGCGCGGCACGTCTTTCGCCTCGCGTCGGCAAAGATTGAAACCCAGACCTAACGGATTTTATTACCATAGGATAGGACGGGGGCAGGTCGCGGGGGTTAGCGCGCGGCGTTTCCGAGACGTGGGATTTGAACGTGGGACGTCATCAGCCCGGCGCATCGACGGCGCCGAAAATCGAAGGGAAAACAACAAATCTCCCGATGAGCCGAACCTCGCGCACTAGCGAGGGCCAGTGCCGCGCGCACTCGCCACGACTGTTTCGAGCAATTCACTTTCTTCTCGGTGTTCCTGACGCTAAAGTCGAGCCCGGCTCGATCAAGCCGGGGAAGATGTACGCGCTGCGCGCCGCACGGCACGTTCTCCCTTCTGCGGCGGGGGAAAACCGCCCGGCGTGATTTATCGTGTTCTTTCGGCAGCAGGACCCGGAAGGTTCGCCGTGTGCTACGGCGCGAGTGCGCGATCAAATGCCTTCAAACAGCCAACGGACGCGTATCTCGATGTCTCGATGTTTGTATCGTACGTGAACGTACAGATCGCGATTTCAACAGACAACTCTCGATATCGATAAGTCTATCCAGATTCTAACATCCCGAGCAAAAAATTGTTAAGACCATCCTTATGAAGCATAAGACCCCGGTAAGGCTGCGAGTAGGATGCCCTAAAAAGGGATGCCTCATTATTATACATTAGGTCTCGAGATTGATCTTTTAGGGATGTGCCTTGGATTTAACAAGTAAGGCTTTGATAGGAAAAAGCTGAGAAGGGCTGTAGAAGGATTTTTTGAGGATGCCTTGGATCTAATAAATAAGGCTTTGATAGAGGAAAGGCTGAGGAGAGCTTTGGAAGGATATTTTAAGGATGCCTCAGATCTAATAAATAAGGCTTTGATAGAGGGAAAACTGATAAGGGCCTTAGAAGAATTTTTTTAGAGATGCCTTAGATTTTAAGAAACAACGCTTTAACATAGAAAACTGATGTGGGCCTTAGAAGGATCTTTTAAGGATGCTTTAGATATACAAAATCAGGTTTTGTTATAGAGAATTAATAAGATCTGAAGCGTGTAATAAAATTGTCATGGTTTAGTATCGTTTTAGTAGGTACGCTCTATCTGGTTCTTTTAAAGATTTTTTAATTATACCGTAATTGAAAACAAATTTTATTAGTTTTATTAATTGCCACATTCATTGGTCTCTTCCAAGGATTTTTTCAGTATTGCCTTCGTTTTGAAATGCAGCAAATTTCAATAAAAACAGTAGCAGGATTTTTATGTGTAAAGAATGCTATATTTTATTGTAAAGTATGCTATATTTTTAAAATAAAAAAATCTTGTTGTATACTAACAAGGTTATAAAGGAATAACGAAATTGCAGTCTAAATTTATTGGAATGAAGAGAACGAATATTTTTTTACTCAAGCAATAATAAAAATATTTCCTTATAAGGCCCTCGTAATATTGCCTTGTAAGGACCCTTTGAACCATTTGTTACACATCTTGTAAGCGTCTGTAGGCCCTTTCTATCCCTACTAAGGGCCCGATTAATGTTAGGGAAGAATAATCAGGTCCTTGTACCAGAACCCTGTTAATTTTCTACTCGGGATTTCAGTTCGTGTCGCGCGTAATAAGCGGCGTACGCCTCTCTCCCCCCTCCCTCCCAAAGTTTTTTCGTCGCTTATCGAGTTATCAGCAGCGCGAGAGGATTTTGCGCGCTATCGCGAGGAAATTTCGAGCGCACGCGAGCGATTTGTGCAAATACCCCAAGAATAACAATACCCGTTAGACATCACGACCAGCTAGCGCAGACCGTTAGCTGCTCTTCTACTTCTTGTAGACTTTGTCGCGCATCTACATATTATCGAGGATCGAAGACACGCGGGAAAATCGGCGGAATCGGCGAAACAAGAGCCGCGGCAGCCGGTTTGCCCGCTTCGCTCTCTCGTGATGCCATTGTCGCGCACATCCGCCGAACCTTCCAGGTCGCGATATCAAGATACACCGCGTGGCCCTGGATACACGTAGATAACAATGAGTCAGGACGAAGACAGCCTAGAGCACACCACGCGGGAGGATCAACGCGAGACATCAACACCACCGTGAGACCTTCAGAGACCTGCCATCACTATACATGTATGTACACAAGTCGCCTGTCATACGCTTCCCGCTGCTTTCCGCGCTTGAGACCGCGCGTGTCCCGGTCGTCGCGTTAGCGGTGTTTCAGGCAGACGGTAAAAAGACAGAGACGTAACAAAACGGTTATGCATGTACACGTGGGCAGAAAGAAGCGTCATGCGGTGCAGCCAAGCGTGCGATGCTGTTTACCTGCGAACGGCACGTCGCCGAAGTACTCCTCGACGTTATCCGTGGACATGCTCTTGTCGGAGAGGGACACGCTGGACAGAGAGCCGCTGGACGCGTCCAGCGAGCCGCCGGCGGGGAACTGCAGCAGGTCCTCGTCCGTTTCCGTTTCCATGTCGCGAGACCTTCGTTTGTACACCTATCGACACAGATCAAGGTTCTTCGTGAGGAAACTGCGACAACTCTTTCGCTCTCTCTCTCTTTCTCTCTCTCTCTCTCTCTCTCTCTCTCTCTCTCTCTCTCTCTCTCTGTCTCGCTCGCGAGCACGTGCCGTGCGAACGCCGACACCGGCGCGGCGGAATAGCTCGATATCGCGCGTGCATTTTTGCACTTTTTTTAATATCTGCCGCGCAAAATCGCGCTGATCACGTTGTTGGATTTATGACAGTCGCGTTTTACAATTTGCCCGCGACCACTATTACTCCGGCGTATCGCCGTTATCGCGAGATTGTCAACATTCGTGTTTTATACACGGATATTTACAGTCGATATAAAAATTCCCCCCGCGTGCCGCCGCCGCGCCTCCGCCTCTGCCGCCACCGCCGCCGCCGCCGCCGTTGCCGCACGCTGCGCCGCGATAGCAAATCGCACGATGGAAAAATGAAGCCAATCCTGTCGCGATGAAAATTTATTGGAACGGAACGTCCGCGCAGGCACGCGAGAAATATACCATGTAAATCGGAGGGAAAATAAATACGCGTGGTCAAGCTAAAGCATATTTATATATTCGAATAAAAATCAGGTATACCTTTTGACATTAATTCTTTCGATTCCGCTGACGGCGAGTCATAAATGACAAATATAATATGATTTTTCCAGGCACTCTCGCGAATTTTATGATACACGCGGAATCGCTGCCTCAAACGAGGCGGCCTGCGCGGCGGCTGCAGCCGCATCGAAATTATTACATCCAACTATACGCGTCAAAGGGAATTTTTATTGTTTGGATGAAAAAAACAACAGAGCAAAAAAAAAGAACTCGCACAATGCCGGTGATAATTAAAGTTACAGCTCTCCCCCCCCCCTCTCTCTCTCTCTCTCTCTCTCTCTCTCGACACGTGCGCGTAATTCTCGTGTTACATGTCTATGTTGAATATTTATATTCCGTGATATTAATAACCAGCTGTGACGAGAGCGGTCAACCTAACGCCATTTACGTTTAATAGCGACGCCTGTAAGCCACCGCGAATTGCGTTACGCCACTCAAAGAGAGACGTCGCGTTTTGATTTACTAAGTGCAAACTGCGAAACGACAGCTCGCTATTTCATCGCGCGTCCCAGAAAGCTCTAACGCAATTAAAATCCGACGTCACACAGGGCCGACAGACACGCTCGCGGTTGCGTCTGTAAAATGCCGCGAGAGAGAGAGAGAGAGAGAGCGCGAGAGAGAGAGAGAGAGAGAGAGAGAGAGAGAGCGCCGAGAGAGCATCTCGAGGAGACAGCCGGAAACCGTCGCTACAAATTCGCGAATTTCTCTCTCTCCTATGGCAACGGAGAACGAACATTCGCGAGGCGAAGTCAGACAGGCATAGAAGCCGAGGGCTTCATTATTCAAAGGGTGTCGGCGTCTTGCATTCTGCCGCTCTACTGGATTCGCGGAAGTTGACGGGTGAGAGGCAACCATCCGTAGACGGTTCTCCCATCTCTCCACGTCCTCCGACAGCTTCACGGGAGACCCCTCTGCCGCCCTTGCCGGAGGGAGGAAGGGGCCGCAGAGGCTGTCTTCGGTTGCCGTAATGGCGTTCGATCCCCGTCATCAAATCATACCCCGCCGCTCCACGACTATTGCGAATTACGCGTCGGCCCGATCGAACCGCATAGGCTACCGCGGTCATTAGTCGCGCGAGCGCGTGTGTGGCCCGAGACTTCGTTTAGCGAAGTATGCCCTCCCCCCCCTCTCGGCAAAATCCCCCCGCGACGTCCGCCGCGTCGGCCGACTAATTGAAATTAATCCGGAAACGCGTGGGATCGCTCGCTCTCCGCGTGGCGCGGCGCGGCGTGGGACAAAGGGATTCCACGGGTCATCGAGCACGAGAAAAGGATGCGTCTCAAACAAACGTGCGCGCCCGTCAAACACGAGAACGATCCGCGCGATGAAGGAGACATCGATCAGCTCCCGCGCGGGCACGCCACGGCAATGTACACAGGAGCTCGGGCGTCTTCGCCGACTCCTTTCCACATATATTCACTATGTGATATTTCGTCAAGCGTGTATAGTCGACTGAAAGACACGGATTGCGAGTGCATATAGGGAACGGCACAGAGAGGAGCCGGGACGGATGACGGAGAGACGCCGCGGAAAGAGCAAAGAGGAAGGGAGGGAGGAAGCGAGCGAGCGAGCGAAAGAGAGAGAGAGAGAGAGAGAGAAGGAGGAGCAGGAGTGCGGTGGAAGCTACGTGGTGCGCTATGGATATCCATTCGCGGTGGATGGAAACTGAACGCAGTCGGTCTCACAGCAGAACGATCATAGGGCGACGCGCAAACGGCAGCAAACGAGCGAGACAAGCCGAAGGCAGACGGCGGCGGCGGCGGCGGCGGCGGCGGCGGCGGTTGCGAGAGAGGCAGAGGGTCGGCTCCTTGTAAATCGCATCACAGATCAAACACAGCTTGTATATTAAACGTAACCTGCTAAGACGCCGCAACTAGACCGCTTATCTACTGTCCAAGACGCGGCGGGTCAAGCGAGAGCACTAATGGCGGCCGGGCGCGAGCGCGCGCGTCGCGCCGAGCTCCGTCGCGGCGCCTCGCCGGCGACCGCTCGACGGCGGAACGACGCGCGATACCGACGTCCGGGCTGCTCGGCTCGCCCGAGAGCTCGCGGTTGCCCGCGGACGAAATTAAACCGTCGGCGCTCCTCCGGGGTGTACCGCGCGTCCTGACGCGTCACCGGATACGCTTTCGGGGCTTTCGGTATTCCCGACGTATGAGAGAGATACGCGCGCAGTCTCATGCATTCACGCATACAGCCGAGAGCGTCTCTCAGCCGATTGCCGTACTCGCCGTAAGAGCAGCCGAGGATGCGAGATTGAACGGCGCCGTGGCGCACGCTTCGCCGCGCGCGACGGTATCGCAGAGACGCGTTTCGTTCGTTCGTTTGAGCACGCGAACCGCGGAATTCCCGCGAGAGATCGACAATCCTCGGGCGATCAGCGATCGCTCGGCCCGGCCGAGCTTAGGCGACGCTGCTCGATTCTCGACCGTCGCCGGTTTCATCGTCGCCCGCGCCCTCGCCCTCCTCTCCCTCCAAAATCGGCCCTTCCTTTCCGCGGGCGGGAGATGTCGACAAGTTGAGAACGATCGCACGCAGGCTGTCTGTCGATAACGCGATAACCCGCGCGGTCACATGACGGCAGGAATTACGCGAGCCCCGGAAATCCGTAATGAGACGCTTATCGCGCGCTCTTAATGATCGCTCGTTAACCGAGCGCGGTGCGTCTCTTCTTTTGCGCCGCGGAACAATAGCCGGCGATACGAGAGAGTCGCCAACACTCACCTGGCTGAGCGGCCGGATGCGCTCGTGGATGGACTTCTCCGCCTGCATGGCCGAAGGTGGTGGATGATCGGGCGTGGGTGGTTGGACGTAATGCGTCGGGCTGGTCGGCAGCAGCATCTGCACGCGCTTGAGACGCTTGTCGGTGGCCTCGCGGCTCTCCAACGCCGGCTGCTCGTCGATGACCTCGCGCTTCTCGTCGAGCAGGCTCTCCTGGGAAGACTTGAGGGTGAGGAAGGCGTTCGACACGAACGTCTGCTCCTGGACGACCGCGTCGCCGTCGCTGCACGGCGACTTGTCGGCGCACGAGCTGCTCTCCGGCTCGTAGCTCTCGTACGCGTGCCTGCGCAGCTTCCTGCGCGGGTTCAGCATCTTCACCGGCCGGTTCTCGTAGATGGACGTGATGGCCACCGGCTCCACGTTCGGCTCGCGCTTCTCCTCGCCGCCGACCAGCCTGGACTTCATCTCCACGTACTGGTCCACGCTTCTGGTCACGTGGCGCAGCTGATCGCGCCGTTTCTGAAGCTGCTCGAGATCAATGTGACTGCGCGCTCCGCTGCGCGCCAAGAACAAGTACTCGTAGTTGCTCGGCCCCACCGAGCTGTCGGCGGACAGAGACATCTGCGTCTGCAGGTGCGTCGGGGACACGGAGAGATTCCGCCTGGGTGGCTTCTTCGGCGGCGTCGGCTGCGGCAGAAGAGACGGATCTTTCTCGTGGATAGCCTCCTCCTCCTCCACCCTCCCCCCCAATTTCTTCGATCCTCGATCGGATATTTTGAGCTTTCGCGGTTCAGAGAGACGTTTCTTTCGCGTCTCCGGCTTGCCGGTGCCGTGGATCCTTCGCGGGTCAGTTTGCTGAAACTCGTCAGCTTACTGCTCCCCGAGTAGAAAAATTAATAGGACTCTGGTAAGGGCCTGATTATTTTTCTCTAACATTAATCGAGCCCTAGTAGAGATACAAAGACAAGGGCCCTACAAGATGTGTAACAAATGGTTTAACGGGTTCTTAAAAGGCAATATTATAAGGGTCTTATAAGGCAATATTAATAGAGCCTTATAAGAAAATATTTTTATTATTGCTTGAATAAAAATATCCGTTCTTCTCATTCCAACAAATTTGGACTGTAATTTCTTTATTTCTTTATAACCTTGTTAGTATACAACAAGAACTTTTTATTTTAAAAAATATGGCATACTTTACAATAAAATATAGCATTCTTTACACATAAAAATCCTGCTACTGTTTTTATTAAAGTTTGCTGCATTTCAAAACGAAGGCAATATTAGAAAAATCCTTGGAAGAGACTAATGAATATGACAATTAATAAAACTAATAAAATTTGTTTTTAATTACGGTATAATTAAAAAATCTTTAAAAGAACCAGATAGAGCGTACCTACTAAAACGATACTAAACCATGACAACTTTATTACACGCTTCAGATCTTATTAATTCTCTACAACAGAACTTGATTTTATATATCTAAAGCATCCTTAAAAGATCCTTCTAAGGCCTACATCAATTATCCACGTTAAAGTGTTATTTTGAAAAATCTAAGGCACCCCCAAAAAATCCTTCTAAGACTCTCCTGAGCTTTCCCTATCAAAGCCCTATTTATTAAATCTAAGACATCCCGATAAATCTTTCTAAAGCCCTCATCAGTTTTCCTTACCAATGTCTTATTTCGTAAAATCTAAGGTATCCCTAAAAGATCCATCTCGGGGCCTGATGTAGCAATAATGAAGCATCCCTTTCTAGGGCATCCTACTTTCAGCTTCATCGGGGCCTTATACTTTATGAAGATGGCCCTAACAATTTTTTGCTCAGGTCTCCCCGAAGAAGTGAACTGAAATGTTCACGAAACGTCGGGAACAAACCCACGGTGTGGATCTACGGCACCCGGAAACCGATCGCGAACCGATTCTCGATATTGAAAACGCAGGAAACGGAAGAGCGATAAAACGAGACGCGCCGCCATCTGCGTGTTCGCTCGAGCTTCGCGCGAGCACGCGAGGCCTTTAATTTCGATTAGCCGAGGCTCTTACCGAGACTTTACTGTTGGAAGCGGGGCTGTGCAACGAGCTAGACAAGGGTGCCATCGGCAAGTAAATCCCGCCAGCGCTGGAATCGTTGGGCAAACAACGGCGGTCCCGTGGGCTCGGGCCGCCGACGCTCGAGGATGAGGACACGCTCAATTGGTCGGACTCTCTGCCACCCCCGTATCCCGTGGGCAATGTCAAGGACAGGTCCTCCGACACGAAGCTACCCTCCATTGTACCGCGCGGCACCGGCGGAGTTTGGTACAGTCCGCTGTCGGAGCCCCTGTGCAACGAAAACTCGACGCCTCAGTGGAGCCGCCAGGATGAGCCGCCTGTCGTCTCGGAGCCGACGACGAGGGGGAATCGATTCCGCGGATCGAGCACGCGATCGCATTCGATCGAAATCCCGCGCGCCAGAGAGAATATCTCTCTCTCTCTCTCTCTCTCTCTCTCTCTCTCTCTCTCTCTCTCTCTCTCCCCCCCTCCCTCTCTTTCTCTCTGCGGCTCGTTCTTACCGCAGACTGCAACTTGCCGAAACTGCAGTATTTACAGACTCGGTCCACGAACGCGCGCGACGAACGCTCTACGAGAGTGCATGCATATGTTGGCTAACGCTAGTCTCAACTACGACTTGGTGTCAACAACGCGACGACTGACCCGTTATGAAAAAAAAAAGTAACGTGTCGTATCTAGTATTGCAACTATACTGTGCAGAATGTATGCATGTCATTACCGTGTGGTGTCGGGTGGTAATGGTGTTCTTTTGCTAGTGTTTTGTGGTATATCTTCAGGAGTTTGGTCGGAACTTTCGAGAGTATTTATAGAGTTGAGAGTGTCGGATAGGGACATAAAGACGCTGTCGAAGACGGAACTGGGGTCGGAGTCCTCTGTCTGCTGGAGGGCCCTCCGTACTCCGTTCACCGGCTCTCCGTTCTGCTCGTCTTCGCTGAAAACGCGCATCCCGCTACATCAACCGACATCGGTCACCAACTCACTTGCGATCGCACATCCAAAGCCAAGCAACACACAATATAAGTCGTATGCGCCAGTGAGAAAAGGACTACGCAGTAGCGCTGCTAGCCAAAACTACCAGTGAGAAGATCGGGTTCAACCAACGCGAAGCGGAAGAACCGTCTGAATCCATCTCGGTCCGCGACACTAGCGATGTCCGATCATCTCTCGCGAGGCCGCGCGCGAAAATCGTCGAGCGTGTCGTCGAGCGAATGAAAGCGCTCGCGAGAGCGAGAAGTGAAGACATAACGCGCGGTATAAGGGAGAATGCAAATGTAAGTCGCGAAGAAAAGACACGCGGTAGTCTCTCCATTGACAAAACACGCCTCGGTCGCGGGGACATTCACAGGCGAGCGGCGACTTTTTAACGAGGCCACGTCTCGACGACGACGAGGACGGGACATGGCGAGCGCCGGCCGAGGGAGGAGGAGGAGGAGAAGCGGAAAAGAAGCCGGCGGCTGGGGGGTTGCGGAGGCCGCGCGCTCTCGCAGCACGGGGAAGAGAGCGATGGTTATTAGTTTTATGCTGAGACGGGCTAACATTTACATTGTTTAACGTGATGGATTCATCTCGAGGCGGCCAAGCCGGGGCTACCGACGTCAAACATTGATGGTGGAGAAGTGCGGAGAACATCAACGGCAGCCAGCACCCACGTTCTATCGCCCACTCTCTCTCTCTCTCTCTCTCTCTCTCTCTCTCTCTCTCTCTCTCTCTCTCTCTCTCTCTCTCTCTCTCTCTCTCTCTCTCACTCTTTCTCTCTGTTCTACTCTCTCTCCCCCGCTTGCCGCGCGCACATACACACGTCGCGCGACCCTCTTTGTCCTTCCTTCGTTCTCTTGCACTCCACTTTTCGCTCAGCGCTCCGCTCTCTTTCACCCCCTACGTCTTCGCCTCTACATCATCGTCCCTCCTTCTCGCTCGCGCTGCCGCCGAGCCAACTAGTCGGGCTTAGCAGCTAGAGCGGTAGCACTGGCACACCGAGAGTACCAATGGGGTGATGCAGCGGGGGTGACCCAGGGGCGAACGAGGCGGTCGGACCCACCATCGCCTGCCTACATCAGGAAAATTAAACCAAGCCAAGCGGTGCTTAACGCGCTGGGGCTACACGCGGCGGCCGTGCCACCACCTCCTCCAACCTCTTCCTCCACCTCCGTTTTCCGCCACCCTCTCGCGCGCCACCCCATATATCCAGGTTCCCTTTTCGGTCCGAGAACCTCCACCTCCAACCTTCTCCCTCTGCCTCCTCCTCCCCCTCCTCCTCCACCTCCTTTTCCTCCTCCTCCTCCTCCTGCGGAGTAACAGCGGCGGCAGCGGTAGCAGCAGCGCCAGCGCCAGCGCCAGCCGTCATCATCCCGGAGCTTGGCCGGTACTCACTCATTCACTCCGTGTTCCGTCCACGTCTACGCTTTTGTTTGTCCAACATCTCCTATATTAAAGCACCGCGGCGCGGCGGGCGGCCGCCGTGCCGTGCTGTGCCGTGCCGTGCCGTGCCGTGCCGTGCCGTGCCGTACGCCGCACCTATATTATACGGAGTCTTTTTTTTTTGCAAAAATATCGCCGCGCGCCGCCGCGCTTACCCACCGCGATGCGATGCCGTCGCGCGGTTTTTATTCCCTTCGAGAGACCATCAGAGAAGAAGACGGCTATCCGGATGAATAGGGGAAAGGCAGTGAGAGCGAGGTGAAGGGCGGGCGGAAGGGAAGGGAGAGTACGAGGGGAGCACTTTCTCACTGCACGCGCGAAGTCGCGCGATCTGCTCGGATGGTAATACATGAGAATGCACGAGTATGCGCGCGGTAATACGCGCGCGCGCGCGCGCGCGGGGGGAGGGCGACTCTTACCTTCGTAAGAGCGCGTGGAATGAACGCGATCCGTTCGAGCAGCGTATCGCCATGCGCGCGCGCGCGTGTCGCCAAAGTTGACGTTAATTAATGCCCCAGTTTTTGCACGCGTAGGCGTAGGGGCGTACTTATCAAACGGCGTGTGTGTACGCGTCGATATTATTACGCTGTCTTACGAGTCGCTAATTATTATACGCTCATAATATTCGCGTAATATTCCGCTCGACATAGCTTAACGTGTTCAGTTGCCGCCACCGGATTAATATCTCGCTAGTGTCACCAACACGTACCGCATATGCGCGAGCGCGTATCGTTATCTGCTCGCGGTATGTCGTGGTAACTCCGTGCGCGAGCAGGCCAGAAATACGATTCAGCGCCGGATACACCGTAAAAAACATACAGCACACAACACACACACACACGCGCGCGCGCGCGCGCGCGCACGCATGCGTCGGATGAAGCGGGCGGTGGATACTCACAAGGACATGACGGAAGTGCCGGATACGCGACGATCGTCGTCCCGCGGCTTATGATAGAACTGCCACTGAGTAGGCGACGTCCCCTCCGCGGGGGAGAGATCATCCCCCGGGCGAACGTTTTCGTAGGGGCTGCCCAATGAGTCGCCACCCTGGACCGGAATCGGCGGCAAGTTCTCGCTGTCAGCGTCGCTCTCCACACCGGAGGAAGACCGGTGCCCTGTTTGAGTTCGGCAATGCGTGTAATCGCCTACGCAATACGGTCGCTTTCACAGAGCTCCGCGCGCGTCTCATCCCGCCGCGAGTTCGCGGACAATCTCATCGCGCGGCGAGAGCGAGAAGAATGAGCGAAGGCCGAAGGCCGAAGAAGTTCGAGCCGATCTCTCTTTTTTTCGGACACGTCATATACGCGAATCGGCGATATCAATCGAGCCACTGACGGCGGGATTGGTGGCGGTGTCGCACGACGAATCGCACAGCGTACGCGGCAGCGGAGCTCCTGATTAATCACATAGCGTAACGTCGTGCGAGTACACGCGCAAATTTTTATACGAGGCTAAGGGCGATTTAATTAAACGCGCCGCGGCAAACTAAAAGCGCGCGTACCTTCGCGCGGCGAGAGTCCCACTAATTACGCAACCCCTTGTACCTATATATATATATATGTGTGTGTGTGCGTGTGTACGTGTATACATATATATATATATATATATATACACACACACACACACACACACACATATCGGTCATGATGTTGCGCGGAAGAAGAAAATAAATCGTATGCCTGCAGGCAAACGCGAGCGTACTTTTTATCACCGCCGTGATATCTTGAGTGACGTGCGGCGGAAACTGTCCCAGAAGATCAAGCACCGTGTTCTGCCGGGAATCCCTAATGCCCAAATCCACTCCGCGATCTAAAAGCGCCCGTACCACTTCCATCTTGCCGCAGAGCGCCGCCTCATGCATCGCGGTGCCCGCTGACGTCCTCGTATTGACGTCAACTCCAGCGGCAAGGAGAACCTCCACGACCGCTCTGCAACAAAATTATGCCAGCATCTCATTGCGCTTCGTTTTGCGTGTCGCGTGCGTGACAAGTGTTAATAAAGAAACCCGCTAGGCGTTCCCGCGATTGTTCGGGGAATCGCGCTTGGGGTTCACTTGGGGTTCAATCGCTGACACGGCCAACCAGATAGCATCGTGTTTTGTTAATCATCGTCCTGCGAAACAAGAAACAGAAACAAAGCCATGAACTTTTCTACGCAGACGGAACGCTTGGCACGAGTCCGTGCGAGGATATCTGAAAAGGACGCAGCCTGCGACGCAGGCACTCGATCTTTCTTCAACTTTACTCGTAATGAAGAAAACTAGAGGAAGATGACATTTCTGTGGATAGTGAAGGGGGAATATCTGTACTTTGTATCTTATCTTGAAAACTCTCACAAGAAGGAGCAGAATGTACCTAAACTCCACTGAAAAACTCACAAGATAGATTCCGCATAAAAGAATAAGTAAGAAAGTCTTGGTGAAAAAAATACATTCCCCCTCAAACTTAGTTTCTAAAATATAGCTGCTCATAGTCTTAAATCGTTTTAGAAAAAATAAGTAACTAGGCACATATGTTTGCAAAGATTGTTCTAAAATACAGGCCCATAATGTTAACGGAAGAGAATATGTTTTTTTTTATTTCACTCGCAACAAAAACGGAAATTATCGAAACTGATAGATATCTTCAAAAATAGATGTGTTGTATCAACATTTTTAACCTGCGACGTATTTTTTTTGTATCGCCTCCTGAAGGGTAAACCTAAGCTTTTAAGGACATATGTTTACAAGGAACATCAGCGAAGTGTATGTCTCCGATTTCGACGAAACTTGATATATTTGTAGAGTAGCCAAAAATAAGAGACCCATATTTTTTATCGGCAATGGTTCAAGATTAAGAGATGAAATTGCCCCTCAAAGTTTCATCCCCCTTATGTCGATAATTATTGCAGATAGGAAAAAACTTTTTAAACAAAAACTATACAGTTTTTATGGCGTACAATGGCGTTTTTGTTTAAAAAGTTTTTTCCTATGTGCAATAATTATCGAGATAGCATAAAGGGGATGAAACTTTGAGTGCCAGTTTTATTCCTTAAACTTGAGCCATTGCTGATACAAAAATATGAGTCTTTTATTTTTGGCTACTCTACAAATATGCCGAGTTTCGTCGAAATCGGAGACACATATTTCGCGGAGATGTTCTTTGTAAGATTCTTTTCCTCATTTCTCAACACGAAATTGTCCTGCCAAAAACGACAATTGTCGGTAGAATTTAGACACCCTGTACCTGAAAGATCTATAGGTGAGACATATTCGGGAAAATATAAAATAACAACCCTCCCCTCCCGACTGTTGGCAGGCGGCGAGATAGAGATCGGATTCGGGAATCTCCCCCAATGAAATAGAGAGAGAGAGAGAGAGAGAGAGAGAGAGAGAGAGAGAGAGAGAGAGAGAGAGAGAGGAACGCGCGTCTCCAGTTGCCTTCAGCTCAGCCTTCAGCGGTCGTTATCGAGCGCGAATTATCGAAATTCCAGAAACGCATCCGCCGGCGGCGCCTAACCGAGAAAACTTAAAACGCAGATTTCGCCGCTTTTCTGCCAGGAGGAGGGTGCGCTGCGCATCGACTACGGTGACCGCAGTCGTCCGACGTGTATAGTATTGACGGCCGAAGATCGGATTCACGTGCACCTATGTTGTTATTACCGTAGCATAGGGGTATTTGTATACTGGCTTACCGAGAGCACCGATATTGAATCCGATAATAGACATTACTCCGCGTCCGCCGCCGCCGCCACCGCCGTCGCTACTCCCGCCTCCCCCAACCCCTCATGCCTGCCTGCCTGCCTGCCTGCCTGCCTGCCTGCCTGCCTGCTGCCAACTGATCCCTCTCTGCTGCCAGCCCCCCTCTGCTCTAGCCCCCGATATAGCTGCCGCTGGTAGATCCACTAAATATCGTGGTGCGCGCGTGAAACGCGTGCGTGAGCTCGACCGTCGCAATGTACGCACCCCCGTACGTGCCCGCGTGCGCGCGTACACCTACCCCCCAGGGATTCTCAAACTCGCCGATACCAAAGTCAAGGTAATACCGATCCTCGGAATGCCTTCGGCATGTCGGAGGAGAGACTTGTGATTAGTCGAGGGAATATTTATGACGTGTCAGGGAGGACGAGAAAAATCTATATTACTATATATACGGAATAAGAGGCAGAAATGCGCGAGGCGACGACACATGACGTATGGCTGCTTCTTTAATTTCGTCCCACGTGAGTGGAGAAGAATTCCCACGATCGTTCGTGAGAGTGACTGCAGACGGTACGAGACGAAGATATTTATGTAACCTCTTATCGATGTATCGAGAAGATTCTCTTGTCGGTCCCGTTATCCCGTCACGGAGGCCGCCGCAGCCACGGTTTGAGAGACGCTGACCTAGTCCAAAACGTTCAAACAGTTCGTGCGTACGCGTTCACACTCGTACAGGCGCAAACGTCTCGCGCGCCGTTATTTAACCAAAATTCGAGCGATAAAATGTCACGTTCTGCACGCTCTCGCTCGCTCGCGCTATCTCTCTCCCTCTCTATTTCCCCCTCCCTCCCTCCTCCGCCTCACGCCGCCACCCCCGTCAATTCTGCTGCACCCTCGCACGTCGACATGGACGGAAAATGCAGCCACCGGACTGTATATCGCGATACGATCGCATTATAAGCGGCAAGCGACGGTTAAAGCGATTACCGGCTGCGAGGCTGCATAGAAAAACCGGCGTTATACCCGATTACAATGTGACTGCCGTTTCGTGGCGATTCACGATTCGATTCGACCGCCAACCGGGCTGTTCCGCGACCGTTCGCTCGTCCCCTCGCTGCTCTCTCTCTCTCTCTCTCCCTCTCCCGTCTCCGTGACGTCGATTATACGCGAAAAAAAAACAACGAACAAAAAAACAAAACTCAACGGGATTACGGACATCGTCCTGTTAAACGAAAGCGAATCGCTCGGCGGTGGACCGAATGCTGCACGATCGGGAGTAACGGAGACGTCACCGTGAAACGCAAGTCGCCACCGCAGCCGCGGAAGGGTTAGGAGGGGGGCGGCGGGCACCGAAGGACTACTTCGTAGTCGTCGAAGAATACTACGGCGAGACATTAATCTCCGCCATCTGATCATCACATCGGCCTGGTGTAATCGATTATCCGCTCGCTCCTTTGTCATCCCATTACGCGGTTCAATTAATCGAATAATATTACACGGCGGGAGTACATGGTTATGATTACGATATTATTTACCTCGCACACGCGCGTACGCGACACGCGTTCTTCTCCGTATTTCGACATTACGAAGATCACGGTACCGGCTGTGATGCCGATGAATCCTGTTTTTTTCCCCTCCCCTCCCACCCCCTCCTCTCTCTCTCTCTCTCTCTCTCTCTCTCTCTCTCTCTCTCTCTGTCTGTTTGTCTGTCTGTGTCTCTCTTTCTCTGCCGTTCACAACGAATGATATCTCGCTGCAGCATAGAATCGCGACTATTCGCTGCTATGGTCGCGATTAATATAGGTCGATACGTTTCGGCGGCAGTGATTAATACGATTCTCGTAATCGGGAGGCGGTCAGCAATCCGCACGGATGGACAGAGCGGCTGCCGGCGTGATGCGATCGGACGCATTCGCGTGGCTCGAGGAGGGACGAGAGGGCAATCGACGGGACGGTAATATGGGACGTGTAACCAGTAGAGGATTGGATCGGATCATGCCAGTCGGAGGACGTATATATCGCATTCGACGGGATTACGCAACGCGGTGCTCACTGATTGGCTCTAATGGCCAGCGCTGCAAATGGCTCGACATCGTTATGGTTAGCTCGAACGAGTCCATTGTTGTACTCGGATACAATACACGTCGCGCATTATCCAGTAATTAGCATGACCATTTCGCGGGAAGAAGTGATACGCGGTCCTTAGATAAACACAAACGAGTGACCCGAACGATGGCGGCGTCGGATTACGGATCCGATCGGCGTCGCCGCCGTGGACGGCAGAGCGCAACCCGGAAGCGACAGCGACCGGCGAAAATAAAGCGCAACCGGGCTAAACGAGACGGCGTCATTGCGAGAGACTGACGAGTGTGCGAATGGATTTTCAAGCGTTATTCTCAACGAGAGTGGCGTTCGGTGGCTGTATTCGCGCTCGTGTCCGCAAGTCGAGGGGCGAAACTCTCTTACCTGTGGCCATTGCGCGAGGCTAGGTGCAAAGGTGTGTGCGGGAAGATCAGAGACGAGGAAGAATTACGCAGCGGCTCGATCAATTCAGGGTGCGTCCGCACGAGCAGCTCCACGGTTTCCAATCTGTAAGAAGGGTGACGATTACGTCGCGCATCGGCGATTGCACTCGTCCGTGCCGCGCCGGACTCACGAGGAGCGCGCCGCTATCGATCGTGCGTGAGATCCCATAGCCGCGCAACTGCCGACTACACGCGCGGCCGCGAGAGAGAAATGTGTGTGTGTGCAGCCGAGAGAAGCGCCGAAAAACGTGGTCGCGTGCGCAATTTACCTGCCATATTGTGCGGCGAGGTCGAGCGCAGATTCTCCGCGGCTGTTGCGGATACTAGGGTCGCATCCGTAGTGCAACAGCTGTGCCACCACTTCCGTGTGCCCATACTGCGCCGCACAATGCAGTGCAGTTTCGTTATCCTTTGTCTATAAGCAAAATCGATATTTAGATTCTTTCGGATTATACGCACGCCGCTGATTCGCGATACAATTATACAACTTGTCCCGACTGAACCCCCCCCTCCGCCCTCCCCCTCCCCCGCAGCGCCCCCTTTATTCTTCATTCCTTTCCTCCTTTTCTCCTTTCGGTACGTAAAGTCTCTCTCTCTCTCTCTCTCTCTCTCTCTCTCTGCGCGATGCTCGACAAGACGCACTTTGGCTGCGCCGGAGACACCCCAAACGTGCAGCCCGCAATGATCGATTCATGCGCTTCATCGGCACGCCGCGCCGCGCGACGGCGGACCGGAACTGTCGTAAGATCGATGTTCTGCTATTACTAACCGCAAGATTCACTTTCGGCACCGACGGCCCTTGGCTGAGAATTAATCGTACAATTTCCGCATCCCCCGCCCAAGCGGCCAAATGAAGCGGCGAAGAGCCCTTGGCGTCGACGACATTGGTGGAAGCTTCGTATTGGAGCAGTAATCTGACCACGTCCCTGCAAGTGAACGTTGCGGGGAACGTTAGAGCGCACGACAGACGCGGATCGATCTCGAGAGACGCGCGAACGTCTCGACGGAGATCTCGACGAGATTCAAGAGACAACGTGCCACCCCCCCCCCGTCTCTCGTTCTCTCTAATATTCGCGAGGATGTACCGTACCTGTGGCCGTTTAGAGCTGCGTGGTGGAGGGCCGAGTACCCACTGGCATCTTGCACATTAGCTCCTGGTCCCCGACGAAGACTGCAAATGGAAAGAAATTTGTTCAGTCGTACGACAGTCGTAAGTCGACCACCTTCGCAGCTCCCAATACGCTATCAATCACCGCTGCGTCCGCTAGCCGAGTAGAAAAATTAATAGGGCTCTGGTAAGGGCCTGATTATTTTTTTCTAACATTAATCAGGCCCTAGGGATAGAAAGACGAAAGCCTTATAAGATGTGTAACAAATGGCTTAACGTATCCTTATAAGGCAATATTATAAGAGCCTTATAAGGAAATATTTTTATTATTGCTTGAGTAAAAATATTCGTTCTTTTCGTCCCAATAAATTTAGATTGCAATTTCATTATTCCTTTATATTGTTAGTATACAACAAGAATTTTTTATTTTAAAAATATAGCATACTTTATGATAAAATATAGCATTCTTTACACATAAAAATCCTGCTACTGTTTTTATTAAAGTTTGCTGCATTTCAAGACGAAGGCAATACTAGAAAAATCCTTGAAAAAGACTAATGAATATGGCAACTAATAAAACTAAAAAAAATTTGTTTTTAATTGCGGTATAATTAAATAAGATCTGAAACGTGTAATAAAATGGCAATTACACGCTTCAGATCTTATTAATTTTCTATAACAAAACTTGATTTTGCATATCTAAAGCATCCTTAAAAGTCTCTTCTAAGGCCCATGTTAAAGCGTTATTTCGTAAAATATAAAGCATCTCTAAAAAATTCTTCCAAGTCCCTTATCAGTCTTTCCTCTATCAAAGTTTTATTTGTTAGATCTAAGGTATCCTTAACAAATCCTTCTAAGGCCCTTATCAGCTTTTCCTATCAAAGCCTTTTATCGTAAAATTTAAGGCATTCCTAAAAGATTCTTCTAAGGCCCTTCTCAGCTTTTCTTATCAAAGCCTTATTTTGTAAAATCTAAGGTATCTCTAAAAGATCCATCTCGGGGCTTCATGTAGCAATAATGAAGCATCCCTTTTAAGGCATCCTATTTTCAGCTTTATCGGGACCTTATGCTTCATGAGGACGGCTCTAAAAATTTTTTGCTCGGGTATTTAAAGCCCCGATTGCCTGGACTGCGACTCGATTCTCGACAAAGTACGCATGTCGCGAAGACGAACGATGAACGAAATGAAACGAACAATGGTGGTTTCCGCGCGAGAGCTCGGGCTTCACCGGTTTTGCTGCCGGTGTTGGCGCGACGGGGGTTGCATCACCTTCAGCACACGAGGCCCACGCGGAAGAATCGCGGAAGATCGGTGCGTCGCCGGCCGGCCGGTTAGGCGGTGCACAATGGGCCGCAGGCTCGCGAACAGGAACAGGCTCGCTAATGAAGCTTCCTGCGTCCAACACATGTTCTCATTACGCGCCTTTGTTACGCCCGCGCGGAGATAAATGTCGCGCCCCCGCAAACACCGTGTAAACGGCGGCGGCAGCGGCGGCGGCTCCCTCGGGAAAAGCGGAAGAGGCCGCCCGCTATATACGTAGCGCGCCCCGCGCGCGCTCCTCTCCTCTCCTCTCCAGCGCGACTTATGACTCCCGCCCTCTCTCGCATCACCTTCCTGCTTCCTTTTATTGAATCGGATATCCAGATATTCCTGCAACGCTTTGCCCATAGAGGAATTTCTCGTTATCCCGTCTCTCGCCAAGTGGATTTGATTGGAAGAACGGGTGGGGAGGGGTGCGGAGGGGGGGGAGAGTTGGCGGCTATTCAGCCACCCTCGAAGCGTTGAGTATCCGTACTCAAAGGCGCTCGAATTGACTGGATTTCGAGACTATCCGGAAAGAGAGGCGAATAAAGTTTGTACAAAAGTGAATTCTTTGTTTTTTTTATTTTTATTTCGCGAAACGCGAGAACGGGAGAGACCGGAGTCGACCGCCGGCCGGCCCGTCGGCGAAAGAGACGGGAGGGAAGAAAAAGGAGAGAGAAAACGGAAAATTAGCCATGCGATCGGGAATGAAATTTCTATTTGAAAATCGCCCATCGCGCGGATGCGCGCGCGCGAGAACTATTGTAGGCGCGAGGATAGAACGTTCTCGTATGACGTAATGGCCGATAATGGTGTGAAGAGTCACAATTAATGTTCTCATTCCGCAGTAATAAAGTTCGAGCGATCGCATACGTGCCGTATGAGCGACGGTATTGCCTAACCGGCACAGTCATTCGACATAATATTGCTGTAATGCCGGACACGTAACGGTAAGTTTATTGCCGACACCTAATTAACCCGGTAAATCTACCGCTCATTGTTTTCTCGTTGTTCTATGAGCGCACGCAACAATTGTAACACGTAGCATTATGGGCGTTAGAAAGCATCGGGTTTAAAGAATTACCGACGAGAGAAACGAATTGCGGCGACTGAGAGAGAGAGAGAGAGAGAGAGAGGGGGGGGGGAAGAGCGATACTTCCATATTCGATAAAATCGCGAGAGAGAGAGAGAGAGAGAGAGAGAGAGAGAGAGAGAGAGAGAGAAAGAGAGAAAGAGAGAGAGAACAGAATAATTAATAATCCGCATACGTTATCCAACAGTGAGAGTAATTGAACTGCGATCGATTATTCTTCTCTCCTTTTGTCCTGCGTTGTACCAATATATGTGTACGTGTGTCCCACTCTCATGCCAAGTGTACGTCTTAATGAGAAATGTTATTAAGCGGCATAATATTGACCTTAGGTGACTAATAAATGCCATAACTCGAGCATATGAGAGCGCGATATTTGCACAGCTCTTATATAACTTCGATATGAGGAGCGAGGCGCAAAAAATGTCCATGTACGTTTCACCCTCGCCGTCTATCCGCGGACTAGAGCCGTGTTTGTGTGTCAGGAAGAGGAGCGATCGTCGTCGCATATCGGCGCTTTCGACGAAGCGCAACGCACGCTGTAATCGTTACGGCAAGTATCGATGACGATGACGGAATACAGTCAAACAATTCGCGATACCTTAACGCGCGTGGCGATCGATTAAACACAGCACACCAGGCGACACAGCGATCGATTCGATTGATAATTAAATAGGAAAAGCGGCTTATAATTAAATCACCGATCGCCGTGCGTGTTAGTTCCGAGCGATCTAAATCGCTCGGAGAACCCCATTATCGACCGCAAATCGGCGCGCGTGCGAGGGAGAACGCCGAGACTTTTCCCTCATTAAGCGTACACGCACGCACGCACGTACACACACACACACATATACATGTTCCAGTCCCACGCCCACGTGACGTCGCCGTCAAAGCATCGCGCGCTCAGTTTACAAAACAATTACGTAAGCGGGAGGCTTTTTTCTACTATGAGCCGAGCCGGCACATCAAAGCCGCCATCATCATTAACCAACGTCGTCATTAACCCCTCGGATATCCGTATTCTAAATCGCTGACTTTCCGTGGGCGGCACGCGACGACGATCGACGTAGGCTCGAGAGTTCTTCCCCTTCGGCTCCTCCAAGAACCCTTACGCTATTGTAACGGAGATCAAAAAGGAAATTGTGTATCGCACGAGAGCGACGTCACGGCTCTGGCAAAAAGCGCGCGCGTACGTCACTCGAGCTTAAAAGAGAGGGAGAGAGAGAGAGAGAGAGAGAGAGAGAAAGGATAAACCGCGCGCGAAGAGAAGCAACGAATGCGCCCGTTGACGCCGATTTCCGTCCTTCTCGCGCAAATTGCATTTTTAACGATCGCCTTTCCCGCGCGGTGCGATCTAACGTCAGCTTGAACAATTGTCCGCAGTCTGATCGAATATGTTTCAGACCTTGGAAAATATATTTAAGGCTGAAACAAAATTTAGTTCTGCCTCCGTTAGACTTTTCCTCCGCTCTCGATTCTTCCTCTCCCGCGTTCGCGAGATGTAATTCGCGAATTCGTTTGGCCTCCTTTGCCCGATCGCAGAATTCCCCCCCCCTCCCCGCTCTCCTCTCACTCCATCAGTGTCTCACTATTTCGCCTTTTTCTCTCCTTCCTTCCCCCTCCCATATCCCCGCTCTCTCTTCCTCCCTTGCTCAATTGTCGAGCCGAGTCGACTGTTTGTTTTCCGCGCCCCAACGACAAAGAGGGTGGCGCACAATTCTTAAAGCCATGTACACGAACGCGTTGCGCCGTCATGCGTGCGAGTTTCTACACGCGCACACGCGTGCACGTACAATACGCGCGGCGCGCGTATACGGCGGGGACTCTCGTTGGAATGACCAAGGAGCACTCGCGCTCTTCGACCCTGGTTAGTGGAGAACATTTGACTCTCTTTTTCTACCTCGTTCTCCCCCTCCGCCGTAGCCCCGTTTTCCCCGGTGTCGCCCTTTCGCTTTTCGTCCGCCCCATTCATCGAGTTCATCCGCTCTTCCAAGTTCCTTAATTAAACCCTGAAGATTGTCTGCAAAAAGGACATCGCCCCGTCTCTGAACATTACGAATAGCACGGCGAAGGGCACAGGACGGATACAGGCAGGAGAGGGGGGGGGCGAGCGGAACCGAGACCATTGGTGGAAGGATCGTCTGTCGGGCAGCGTATAATGGTAATTTCTTGTCGGTCTTAATCAAGAAGTTGCGCGATCGAAATGGGCATCGTGGGTCAACTTCTAATAGCGTTAATAATCGTGGCCATTGTTCTTGTCGGACTCGGGGAAGAACAGGTGGTTAAGCGGGACGCTGGCCTCGGCTGGGGGCGAGCTTGCGATACGAAGAAGGGAAACCAATTTCCAATATATAATAACGATGACAACAAACTCGGAAACGGCGGGAAATGTCGGGCACGAATACTTGGACGGTTGTTGATCACAAGCGAGTGATCTCGACACAACGAGGAAACACTCCCAGCTCAAAAGCATAAAATAAATGCATTACGCGTGTAAAACATACAAAGTCTTCACTTCGCGCGTAAAGCGCGGAAGACGATAGCTCGGGGAAGTAGAGAGAACGATTTTTCTAAATCACAACGTTCTAATTATAATCGCCGCGTCGTCTCTCGGAGAGTGGATAAAAAAAAAACAGCATCTGTGTGCCGCATAAATAAATGCTAATAAATCGAGGTGACGCGCGATGACGAGCATGGAAGTCGCGCGCAGGCATAATATTAATGGAGCTTCCGTAAACACCTTAAGGGTGTAGCGGAGGTATTACAAATATAAAACGCGTACGGATAAACGGAGTCCTACAGAGCTCTTTTCGACCCCATGAGCGCAAGTGTTTAGCGCGGAGCGCACCCTCCTGCCGGAGGCAAAGCACAGAGGAAAACCAGGCTGAGAGTGACGGAGAAAGCGGCCGAGAGGAGCGAGAAAGAGGGACAGAGAGCGAGAGAGCGAGAGAGAGCGAGAGAGAGAGAGAGAGAGAGAGGCGGAAAGCTGTGAGGGTGTATACGTGCGAGGGGCGCATGCCAGGGCATCAATCGATAGTTTCCTCCGGCAAAGAAGAGAGGTACGATACGTGCTGACGTAGCCGAATGTCCTTCTTCAGGAGCACTCGACGACAGGTGCCAACGTAAAAAAGAGTCTTCTAAAGCACCGGCTCTTTAACACGGTTAGAGACGGAGCGGCGGAAAAGCGGCGACGTTTCGGACCCGTCGTCGTCGCGTCGGCTTCGTCGTCGGGGAGACGTGAGCGCGATGAAATTATAACGCGCGCATCCGCGGCGCGATGTGCAATTTAGAAAATATCGCGACCGTATCAAATATTGCGCGCTCCGCGCACAGCGCGCGCGAGCGGATGGACGCGCGATCGACTAGAATTCATCGAATTACAATTACCATGCGATTTAATCGGTCCGCGCGCAATTGTTTCCGATAAATTCCAACTTATTATATATCGCGTGTAAAACTAGAATCTCTCCGCGCTCGCGTAATTCACGCTGTCAAGAGCTGTCGATGCTTTTCACGGTCCCGTTCGCAAAATTCACATCCGCGAAATTCGCGTTCCGCGCGCGCGCGCGCGCGAGCACGAACACGCTCCGGTCTTTCGCGAGACCGTGATTAAAATTATCGCACCGACGCAAAGTCAACAGTGAGCGGCAGTGAACAAAGGATAAACACATTCGCGGGTGCTCGTACACGAAAAGTGGCACGTCCACTTCGCGATTAGCATCGCAAAATATTCTCGGCTTCCCCGGCTATCGCCGAGGGGCTCGGCGACGCTCCCTCCCTCTCTCCCTCTCTGTCTCTCTCGGAGCGGTCGCGTTTTATATTGCTTTTCTGTGATCTCGACGGGAAGGGCAAAAAGGCAAGCGCGCGTCGGGCGGTGAAGAGGTCGCGCGGCTTCGGGAGAACTTGCCGCGGGCAGGCTTTGTAGTTATGGACAAGTTGCGCGGCGTCGACGACAGACACGAGAGGCAATTCGTTAGAAGAGAACGGCACGTTCGTCATGATACATTTAGAAACCACCGACGGCGGATTGCCGCCCTCTTGCAGCCCTCAAGAGAGAACGACGGAGGGAAACTACGCGTCTCCCATCCCCGCCGCACGCATACACGTGTATCTTTGTGTGTACACGCTCACGTGAAAATGCGCGCTTTTTAATTGGTATTTTTCTTAGAAAATGATGTTGCAGCGGACAAACTCCCGAAGACCCCATCCGCGCGCCTAATTGCTGCAACTTTAATTAATGCCAAGAGTATTCCGATAACGTTACGTGTCACTATTAGTATTGCGCTAAATTCCCAGATTTGTTATTTGTACGCTATGATTGTATGTTTATCTGACATAACAGATCAATATTTATTCTAATCGAACTTGACTTGTCCTAATCCACAATAATCCGAAATTCATGGCAATAAATGACGATGGATGGTTGCACTTTCGACGTTTAATATGACTTGATAGAGCCGCGCGACTCAATTTTCAGCTTCGGTCCAAAGCGAGAATCAATCGATATTAAGTCGAGCAGTTGCCTCGCTCCGTTATTCTCGCTCATAATTCGCAGTTTTTCTCCGACAGTCGCGGTATATACGGCCGTTCAAGAGAAAAATATACAATGCGACCCAAGATTATGTATATTTATCGACAACCGCTTTTATTAGCGATTGTTCCAGCGGCGCTCATCCCGGAACAACAAACAGCCTTTCCCTCTTTCTCCCTCGCTCTCGCTCGTCGCCTCTTTGCACTTTGAGTCGCGCGGCGTTTGCGATCGCTCTTAAAATGCGTGAATGCGCTCATAGCACGTGTGCACGCACGCACGCACGCACGCACGCACGCACGCACGCACGCACGCACGCACGCACGCACGCACGCACGCACGCACGCACGCACACACGCACGCATGCACGCACGAGTCCCTCGAAAAACAAATCGTGAGCTTCTTGTGCCGCCGTCGCAGCATGACTTAATTAATGGGAGGACGAGGAGCGCCGACAAAGTCCGTCTTTGTCGAGCAGTTCGCGGCACTGGGTCAATAAAGAGCGCAGAGTCGACGACGGTGTTTCACTAATTACGCGAGCATCGCTCGCGTTCGGCACCGACGCGATCGGCGATCGCGGTTTAATTGAATGAGCCGAGGAGGCGCGCGGCGCGATAATAAATTCATTCGGACTCGCGTCTCCGAGTTCGATCAACACGTCCGCGGACTAATCGTCCGTTTAACCGCGAGACGGCCGGGGTGTTAAGCCTGTCTTACACTGGGCGACTTTCAGACCGTGTCGTCGCGTCAGGCCGTAAACATATATCGCGTGCTCAAATCGGCAATAAACAACGTGGAATTTTTAGCTTCTTTCTGCTCGCGACGATAAAGTCGCAGAAAAATAGAAGCAGCTTTATCTCTCGAGCGCTCCTCCGTCGAGACGAGATATCCGTCGAGGAATGCTATATTGCGCCAATTCTGCCGTTGACGTTGAATTCAGCCGTGACACCGAGGCGAAAATCCTGCGGCAGAAATGAGCCTTTAGTACCGAGCGCGAATCGAAGCGTGCATCCTGTATGGCGCTCGATAAATGAATGAACGATTGTTTTACCCCGATTCCGACGATAATGACGACAGCGCGTATACACCGCTCGTTAATTTATTTCCGCGCGGAACTTTTCCGTCGAGCTCAGCGTGCGCGCGCGCGCGCGCGCGCGTTCGCTCGCTCGCTCGTCCGCGCGTCTATCCGATTATTCGTCAGCGCGCGTTCTCGCGAATAAACGCGAAATTACGGGGCATACCCACGGTAATATACGCGCTCGCGAAACGCCTGCAATTAGCGTTAATTCATTCGCGAAGGATTTAATTGTGTCTCCGCCGTGCGGAAAGATAAAGCGGAAGCTGATCGCGCGCGCGAGTGAGAGCGTTCTTTCGGCGGTCAGGGCCTATCCGTCGCGCTGAGCGCGTTATCGCTGACCGTCGAAAAATAAATAGCCCCTCAGCAAATAGCGCGAGAGAGCCCGCCTATCCTGCCGCCGTAAATAGCGAACGGAGCGATACGACGAGAGTGAGAGACGTTCCGGAGAACGACGGAGATGTATAGCTTATTCGTCCGCTTATTGAGGTGAGAATATTTACGTACGTCTCCCATCTCGGGAGACCTTGTTGAGAAGTTGTAGGTCTTCTTCTGTCGTCTCGCATATGATGCAGCATGTAGAATCGCTATCTGCGGTATAACCGATACTGCTTGCTCCATGTTGTCGCTCTCCGAGAGGAAATGCGTTGCGTATGTATTATTTGGATGATTGGCAGCACACATGCTCATTGCTGGCTATCAACGCCTCCACATGCAGTGCCACCGAGCGTGTACATTCACGTGTGTATGTGTATGTGCGTTCCGTGTGATTCATGGTCACGGTGAAATGACGGTGAATAGTTGATACGCAAGTCCAACAACAACGCAGCAACCGGCATAACAGCGTGTATGACTACCGATAACGGACTACCGCGACTCGGTCACTCGGCATCGCTCGTTTTTGCCTTCGATTCACGATCGATCTAATGACAGTGATGAAAATGTAATTCGGCGGATCATAAACGAAGAGATCCCGTTCGAATTGCGGCGCTCGCGCTGCGCTGGACGTGTATTAAATTATTTACGTGTACATACATATATATATATATATATATATATCAGACGTAATAAACGCGAAACGATGTAAAACGCCGGTCGTCGACGCAGGAAATCGGAGCAGGAATCCCGATAACGCGGCCGCGCTCGCGGAGCGGCTTTAAAGGTGGAAACCGCGCGCAATGATTCGTGTAATTAACGGTAGAATTAACGGCGGAAATCCTGTCGAGCGGTCAATCGCGACGGAGGCGCGGAGGGATTAATCGAACGACGACACGGCGCGCGGCACGTCCGATCGAGCATGAGCGGATTATCGTAAGAAGCGCCGATGAGACAAAAGGAAAGAGAAAAGGGGACGAAACGACACGAGTGCTCATTCACAGCGAGAGTAGAGTCCGTTTAACCTCCATCTCTCGCGCACCGAAAGGGGAGAGAAAGAGAGAGAGAGAGAGAGAGAGAGAGAGAGAGAGAGAGGAGCCTCGACAACGCTCGCCGCGCGGAGAAAATGACGAAAGCGGACAAACCGCGTACGTGGGCCGACGGGGATCCTCGCGAAGGCGAAGCTTATCGGCGAGACGCGAATCGGAGCACGTCGAAACGGAGCACAACGAGCACGACGTGCTACGGCGGTTCGATAATCGAATGCGCGAGCGAGAGACGGCCGTGCCTGTAGCCGACGAGTCCGGCGAGAGTGAGGCGTCGGTTTTCACGCAGCAAGCGTGGAAACGAGCGTCAACGGCGAACGCAGCCGGGAATGAGAAAACGACCCCGATACAAAGAGGAAAGGCAGCGCAGCGGCGAGCAAAAGTGTCAAGCTCCTCGCTACGGTGACACCCACCTTGCCAGTGGACCACTCCTTTTGGCTCGCTGACCGAGAATCTTCTCGACCACGGTGACGTTGCCGCTCCTCGCTGCCTCGAGCAGCTCCTGGTCCTTGCCCATGGTCCATTTACACCGCGATCAGGCCGCGATGTTCGCCCGCACACTTGTCAATTTGTGTTTTCACTACGATTACTCGCGTTTCATTGATCCAGCGTGGCCATCTTGGGTGGACTGGCGCGCCGCCGCGCGGCCGCCTCGCCAAGCTCGCACCGCGCTCTCGCCTCGTCGTGTGAATGCAGGCGCGAGCGAGACAGCGACACAGCGACGCCGCTCGCTGTATGAATGGAGAGAGCGAGACGGCGCTAGTCGCGTACCGCCGTGCCGGCCGCACATACGAGTGCGTACTGCGTAGCCGAGTGTCAAGTGACAGCTGTTGCTCGCCGTGCTGATCAGTAGTGATCTGCCATCGGCTGTACGCTCGGGCTGTCGCCTGAGCGAGTTAAATACGTCTTCCTCTGCCGTTTTTTTCTCCGCTGCACACGCGACGTGTAGAGACACGCCGGTATGAGGCGAGGCGCCGTTACGCTTCTATTAGCCCTGCCGTTACTTGTAGGTATCGCGACGACAGTGGCGTTAGAAAATGCGACCATCAAACTCGGTAAGCGTACATAACCTCAATATCCAGTGAGGCTCTACGAATGGCTTATATAAACAATATTTATGCATATACCTCCGCGCGACGTGTCAGTCAGCCGCGTTCGACGGATGCGGCGATTGATCGGCGTTAGTTTGTCGAAAGAGAGGAGACCTGGTTTTTCTTTTCTCTTTATATGGAAGTATACTTTTGCTACACGTAACGGCTAGCTACTCGACGATTACGCGTCTGTTGCTTCTTCTTTTTCTTGCTTTTACGCTTCTCCTTCTTCTACTTATCGCTCTTGGAGCGCGATATGTTTCTTTTTTCTTTTTTAATCATTAGATCCTAATTAAAAGTTACCATGGAACCAGCCGCGAATGCGGGTTAAATCGTCTCTGCGTGTGAACTTGTGGACATGTGAACATGCTTATCTGCGAGATACAAAATAATACACGGAAATGCCGAGTTCGAGCGTTACATGGTGACAAAATTGTTCACTGGCATAAATATTAGATGTATTATATATTGCAGATAACGGCACGATAACAGCTTCCTTATTGAATTACCAAGAGAATGACTCGTTTAAAAAGCGACTAAATTTACCTCCGTACAGCGGTGTGACAATCACCGTAACGGACATTCCGCCGGATGTTTCGTTTGTTGTGTTGCAAATTCATACGTACCAGTACAACGCCACATTAGCATATGACAAAAAGCTGCTCGACAAAGTGTCGAGGGGAAGTTTGTTCGGATCAAATATTGGCCTGTACTTGAAAACACGCAATGTAATAGGCCCAGTGCAGGTATTCCTAACGCACGACAACGTGCACGATCTCGATGCTCTGCTCGTGATCGTGCCGTACGGTCGAACGGGTGAGTACGAATGATATTAATTAACGAGCAACAATGTCGCCTTTTTTCGTCACGCCTTCCTCCTCGGTCGAAATAAATGACGCGGTGGCGTTTTTTTGCGCAACGTCCGCCAATTGCAATAATATAAAATTAATTACACATAAAGACAATCGCAAGGCAACATTATCCGCGATAACGGCCGAAAAATCGCACGTTTTCCTAAATTACAAGGTCTAGTAGTTAATTCTTTCCGATTCTCGACAATTTTTAATCTTTATAAGTCAATAGACCAAGATTAAAATCAATGAAATATTCCCCGTTGTTGGCGATGACCTCGCGCCATTTATTGAGCAGTTGTCGAATCCCATCACGATAGAAACTTAATGGCTTTGACACCATAAAGCCATCGATGAAATTTCGTACGTCGTCAACTGTCGAAAAATGTGTATCAGACAGTATGTGTTGCATCGACCGAAACAAGTGAGAATCTGATGAAGCCAAGTCTGGAAAATACGCTGCGTGTGGGAGAACTTCCCAGCCGAAGTGTAAGATGGGTTACCTTTGTGGCTTCTGCTGTATGCGATTTAGCATTGTGCGGCAGGGTGACTTTACGGCTGCCTTGTCCAGCAAATGGCCCTTTTTTCTCAATTGCATCGCTCAAACGTATTAGTTGCTCTTGGTAAATCTCTGCTTTAATGGTTTTCCAAGAGCTCATAATACAGCACACCCTTCTGGTTTTATCATATACAAAGAAGAACTTTTTTTTCGAAACGTTTGGGTTTTGCTGTCGATGTTGTCGGTTGACCAGGGTCTACCCGTGACTTCGTGCGTTTAGGATTTTCACACATAATCCATTTTTCGTCACTAGTTACGGTTTTGTGTAAAAAATCTTTTTTTGTTGTTTAGCGAGCAAGGTAACGCATGTGGCCAATCGGCGATTTTTGTTGTCAATGATGAGCTCGTGTGGAATCCGCTTTCTTCCTGTATCTCTCCCGTACGATGTAAACGTACGCAGGTGACTTTCTGGCTTAGCCCTTCAGCAAGTTCTCGTTGTGTTTGTGCAGTATTTTCACTCAGCAAATTTTGCAACTCCTCGTCTTCAAATTTTTTCGGCTGACCGGCGCGTGGTTGGTCGTGAAGATCAAAATTACCACTTTGAAAACGTTCAAACCAGCTTCATCGGCACGTGCGATCGGTCACAGCGCTTTCCTCATGAGCAGCACAAGTCACTTTGGCTGCTTCAAAAGCGTTTTTATTTAAAAGAAATGCGAAATGCGTCGCGTATCGAATATACTCTTTGTTGATAGTCATTGTGAACACTACCGATTATTCGAGGTTCATCAAACGCCAAACCATATATCATTTCGAAAAGTTAGATGTCAACATTTTAGAATCGCAAAAGAGCGGGAGAATATTTCAGTTTCAAATTTTGTTCTAAACCGTGTAAATTTCGTCGGAAAGGATTAACTGCTAGACCTAATAAATAGTCGTGTCGCGCGCGGATAAATCGCGAAACGTACCAAGACGCGCGTTCGTTTAATTTGCGACGAATCGCTATTACCCGTCGTACGCAAATGAAATGAATGGCCGACTGTTTTTGACGGCGGGCATAGTGGCGAAACCAGTAGACTATCGAGAGAGAGAGAGAGAGAGAGAGAGAGAGAGAGAGAGAGAGAGAGGGGGGGGGGAGGGAGAATTCAGCGTCGTGCATTCGCTCGATTGTTGTTTCTACAGCGCCGATACCGGGCGGATGTAACATGGAATTCGAGATCGAAATTGCGCCTTATCAAAAGCTGCATATGGAGAATGAAATGATAATAGTCGATACGCAGCCAGCCATGGCGATCGCCGCTAGCGGCTCGCCGATTCCTTGCGAGAAGAACCCGGTGCGGCACAGTATGTATCGTCTTCACCTGCCCAAGCAGGACTTCACGCCGGAGACGTACTTCAACGCGATTGCGAGCATGCTAACGGTGCGAGATATCGTGCGAAATGGCACCGAGGTATCTCTCATTTGCTTGCCTTATACAGGGTGGGCCAGAATTCAACGCTACAGCCGAGGAGGAGGTGATTCTACGCCTCGGAGTAAATCGAAACGATCCGGTAACTTTCTCTCTGATTGGAATTTCGTTTTCGGGAAGTGTGAAGTTGAAAATCTGTCGAATACGCGCACACTTGACCGAAATTCGACAAGTTCGATTTTGCTACAGACCGCTGCTATGATTTCAGCAGGGTGCAATGCAAGTCGAGCAGAAAGATTTCTTGCGCTTAATTCTGTCGTCTGCGCTGTCGGCAGAACCACAATTTTCACGTGATAGCTGAAAAGAATCATTCTCCCTAAGAATTTCAGTTATTCTCGCAACAACTGAATGGCAAGTCTGAATGCTGATGATTAAGGAATCATTCGTTATAACTTGTCCGAGCGGGTGCATTTTCGCTTAAGGGAAATCACCACAGCGGCCTCTAACGAGGTCGAATTTTGTCGAGTTTCAGTCAACTATACGCCGGCACGTGTCGACAGATCACTGAAGACAACATCCTCACTTTTCTCAAAGACGGAGGAAAATTGTTGAATCATTTCGATTTACTTTGAGGCGTAGGATTACACCTTCTTGGTCGTACCACGAATTCTGGCCCATCCTGTACAATACGAACGAGTGAAATTTCAATTCTGATAACGAACTAAAGATCCCCTCAACGCTATCACACTGATTTTCATTGCTTTCACTGAGTCAACCTGCCTTTTTACAGGGTGCCCGGGATTTTTTGGAAACGAAAAATTGTGAAGATTAATCAGATCAAACTGACAAGAAAAGTCATTTTGCAAAAATCGCAATAGTTACTAGGTCAATAATTGAAAATGATCACGTCTAGAGGTTCTTCTAACTGATGAACTTGAAAATTTGCGTACTTGTTTATAAAATGATAAAGGACTTTTTTATTCAGAATGGCCAAGATTTTTTGGAAACGAAAAATTGTGAGGATTAATCAGATCAACTTGAGAAGAAAAGTCATGTACCATTTTGCAAAAATCACAGTGGTTATTAAGTTAGTAATTGAAAATGACTATATCTAGAGATTCTTTTAATTGATAATTTGAAAATTCGCGTACTTATTTATAAAATGGTAAAAAACTTTTTCATTCAAAATGGTCGAGATCTTTTGGAAACGAAAAATTATGAAGATTAATCAGATCAAACTGAGCAGAAAAGTCACGTACCATTTTGCAAAAGTCGCGGTAGTTATTAAGTTAATAATTGAATTCTGGCGATAGATATGAGTATATAGAACTTTGAACCCTGAATCTTGAACGTGTCGCAAGGCATAATAGCTGTCATATAATTGTAGATTAGGTCATTCTGAACAAAAAATCCTTTATCATTTTGCAAATAAATACGCAAATTTTTAAGTTATCAATTAAAAGAGCTTCTAGATGTGATCGTTTTCAATCATTAATAATTTAATAATACCGCCCATTGCGATTTTTGCAAAATGGCACTTGACTTTTCTTCTCAGTTTGATCTGATTATTCTTCACAATTTTTCGTTTCCAAAAGATTCCGGACACCTTGTATATGCACACTTATTATAATACAATCGGCAGTAATTGTAAAATAATAAAATATTGGAAATGCACTCGCCGAGAGAACGAGAATTGATGAAAATTAAGGAACATCATTATCGACAAAAGATACATTGGGCGGAGAGGCGTCTTTTGCTAAGCAGTTATATTTCTAATTTAAAGAAACTAGGGGATGTGTGTGTGATTGAAAAAATATTTCTTGGTAGATACCACCTATCTCTACGATTTCGTCTATGAGACGCATCTACAGTATGTACGCTGGCACGGGATTCGTTTATGCTGTAGTCGCCACTTACAGGAATTACTCCTCGGCTTACGTCCCGACCTTCTCGTACGGCTGCAGCTATCTGCTCTACCCGAAGAGTTGTCAGGTTTTAAGTACGTTCTCGTGTCTGCTTCTCTTTTTTTAAGGCCAGGTTTACGTCGGCGTGATGATATGTCGGATAGCAAGTCGCGATTAAAAAGCTGCGCGTTTCCGGCCGAAGTGCATCTCGCGACGGTGAAGTTGTGCCTTTTTTTCTCTTTCTCTCAGGTCAGAGAGACCTGCAAACTAATATCGTAATATACGAATTGTTTTCGCGGAATGATGATTTCGCCAGATTCTTAAACGTCATGACACCGAGAAACCATTGGCCGTAGTAAACGTCCTCTGAGAAAAGTTCGCACAATCTCACCTCGTCATTCTTTCAGATGAAACATTCCCAATGGTGGTTTGCGCGATCGTCCTGTTCCTGGGTGTCCTCTCAGTCATTATAGGACACAGACCTATTTACGCCTGCGTGGATCATTCATTGCCGAATCTCGCGATGGGTGGTTTTATCGGTTACACCATAGCGGTGGCTGCCGGCGACCCGGGAACCGCAAGTAACGACCACGGCACCTTCTGTATCGAAATACATTGACCCTCATCTGGGAAAGATGCGCTCTCCTCTCTCACACACGACTGTTGTCTTTTCCAGCTAACGTCCTGATAGGTTTGACGTCGGCCATCATTGCCGCGTGCCTGTCGCTGTGTCAGCGCATCTCGCGCGGGATACTCAGCAAGCTATTGTTCCTGTTGCCCCCCAACTTACCGCTGGCATTCCTGTGCGGATGCATCGCATACCTCTACGCTCCAGGTACGTATCGCGCGTACGTTACGGTACGGTGAGGGCGCGCGTTTCATAAAACTACAAGTAGCTTGCTAGCACTAAAGGGCGAACGAAGAAGAGATGTATGACGCTCGCATTTGTTTTCCCTCCTTTCTTCACGAGTGCTAGTCAATTTGCTCTCTAGTCAGAGACTTGCTGCTTCGTGAAATGCGCCACCCCGCGCCGGGGGGGGTGGGGGGAGGGGGGAGAGGGAGGAGAGAAGAGCGCAGGGCGCGAAAAGGGTAAGGAACGCAGGAGGGAAACGTAGGTAGCCTCTCCACGCCGCGGTGTTCGCGAAGGGCTGTTGCGAATTATAGGAAAATAATGAAAGCCAGGCTTAAAAGCGGAGGGATAGAGCGGGCTGTGGATGGGAGCCACCACCGTCGCCGCCACCGCCGCCGCTACTCCGAAGTTAGTTCGAGTTTGGCGAAGGGATGAGAGGCGCACAGTCAGTTTCTCCCCGTAGCTTCTATCAATGCTGACCGCTCATGTGGAAACCTCGCCCGTTGAATCCCCCATGCAGAAGCGGTACGGCGCATTCACGTTGCCTCCCACCTTTCTCACCATAACGCCGCGCGACTACCCTTCGCCACCCTCGCTGAACACGGACGCAAAAATGCGCGCTGTACGCGTGCACATACACGCGCTCGCGCTCGCGCCCGCGACGTCGTCTCTCTCTCTCTCTCTCTCTCTCTCTCTCTCTCTCTCTCTCTCTCTCTCTCGCTCTCTCGCTCTCTCGCTCTCTCGCTCTCTCGCTCTCTCGCTCTCTCGCTCTCTCGCTCTCTCTCGGTCTCTCCCCTCGGCCGGCGCGAACTCCCACGGCACGGATATAACCAGCTTGGAAGATTCGCATTTACCTAATTGTGTCCCCGTATTTATTCTGCGCCGGGACCTATTTAGATTACACGGTGCGTGCATGCGCAACTAGACGGCGGGTCGGTCCGCTCCGCTACCCCCTTCCCTTCGGCCGGCTCGGCCGACAGATGATCGCGATCGCGTTGTTTACTCTGCGGGCCGACCGCTCGTCGACGTAAAACGGTCGATTATGATGTGACGGCGAACATCCGGAGCGTCCGCGAATCGGATCCGACGGGAGAGATCCTCGCGGCCGTTCGCTCGCGGAAATTATCGACTGCCACGCGTGATCACTCTCGTGTCTAATTCAGCGTTTTCTTTCCCTCTCTCTCTCTCCCTCTCCCCCCCTCTCTCTCTCTCTCTCTCTCTCTCCTGTTCTTCGACGTGCAGCGTACATGTTTTGCATCGTGGAGCACGAGTGGTCGTTCTGGTTGCTCTTCGCGAGCCTGGTGCTCACGGTCGCGTCACTGCTGCTGATAACGTGCCAGTTGGGCGAGATAATCACACGCGCTGTTTTCGGCTCGTACTTTGTCGTCGTCGCGCTCGATTACTACGTCGGCGGCAACTTGAAATACATCATCATCAACATGATCAGGAGGATCACCGTGCCTGGCTTTCACTCGGCCTTTGTCTACCCGCCCGTGCAGACCGCAGGTACGTTCGCGACACTTTGCCCTCGTTCGCGGAAAGGTTGCGCTAAATATTAACTGCATCTTCCCTGCTTTCAGACCTTGCTCTCATAGGTCTCTGGATCGTCCTGATAATGATACGACTGATTAAAATGACTTTAGCTCAGATGAGCGAGCCTTCCATCAGCGGCGAGAGGCAAGCTTTGCTGGCCAGTTGTGAAAGGAACGATCGAATAAAATATGCATATATCAATTACCGCACCTAAAAATACTTTGCTGAATCGCGGAAGGAGGGATGAGTGTTTTTGCGATATTCGAAGCGAGTGCGAATATTTCGCAGGGGAAAATGAAGGTAATTTTATTGAGAACGGTCTATTTTATATCTTTTATCCGGCGGAAGCTGGCTGGAAGGATAACAGAAGACAATGACGATTACCTGGTAGAAAATCGTTCTTGATAAAATTACTCAATCCATTTTTCCATCGCGAGATTCGTCGAAATGTTTCTATTCGTCCGATATATTCATGAGACGTGGAATAAGATGGGTAAACGTTGATCGTCGAAGTAAAAGTTCCTTTTCTGAGTCCTTTGGCAATTTGCCAACGACGCGCGTCAAGAACAATTAACAAAGAATAATATGAGAAAGATGTTCGGTATAATTGTAGTCCGATGATACATATCTTACCTTCTCTCTCTTTCTTCTCACGTAAATCTGTGAATGAAATCGCGCGGCTGCGCGCTGGTTTATCATCCAATTGGTTTGAACGGATAAATAAGAGCGTGTATAATCATTTGTAGCGACTCCCCCCCGTTCACTTTCCCTTTTTCTCATTTACGTTAGTTCAGTTTATCCGATATTTCAGTCAGCGGCGTCATGCCGTAAATATATGTATAAATATAAATATATGATGATATATGTACAATGTCATGTTAGATCGTGCCAAATATTGAAATGCGGTATTCTCGTTAAGTGTAGCGTAAAATTACGCAATAATTTTTGTTTTTTTTTTTTATTTCATTTAAGTAGAACATGAGATTTTAACGGTGATGCGTAACGGCGCGACATCGAGCATTTTATATTTAATTATTTCATTTTATCACTTGGATTAATATCTCCGCAATGAACTTATATCTCGATATGCAAAATGCCTCGTTTTTTTTATTGCAAGGCGGACGAGAAACGTCGTTTGTGGTGTCCGAAATACAGCTGTGTTTCACTACTGTAATTTTTTTTAGCTTATTAGATTAGCGGTAATCTTTCTCTCTCTCTCTCTCTCATGCGGCTGCTTTGTGAGAGCTAGCGCGTATAGTATAGTGCTTACATATAGGACAAAGAGCACTTGTATTGTAACATTATGAATAAAGAATAATGATTTGGCGTTAAAATGAAATAACATTTATTGAGTCGAGACAGTGACACCTAACAGTGGTTCTATTTCCTACTACTTACAATCTTAAAGTTAATCACAGCAACAATATTATCTCATTATTCACAACACTTATATATAGATTACTGTCGCAATAATATATTATTCTCATTAATAAATTTGTTAATACTCATACACTGTAGTCGTTATTAGTAGTATTGTTACAGATAATAAGAAAGTCGCGTAACCACTTCCGCGTCGTGTCGATTGTGTATGTGTATCTATGTGTGCGTGCGTGCGTGCGTGCGTGCGTGCGTGTGTGTGTGTGTGTGTATGTGTGTGCGCGTGCGCGTGTGTTTGCATGATGTGTAACGATTAAAGCATAATTCCGCCGGCGCGAATTTCACATGCATAAAATTGCGCGGTAACGTTCGGTTTCGCAAAACTTCCACGTGCAAACGCGGACTCACATAAAGGTAACGTGATAAATGAGAATTACTTTAATCCGCTCCTCCTCGCGAGATGCACAGCCTGTTGCGAGTTGCAAGTGCAGCGTCTGTCTGCGGAGAATCCTTGCGATGTGGACGCGACCGCGTGCGTATTGAATACATTTTAGAATGCTCCCTCGAATAATCGTAGCGATGGGCGCGCTGTCAGTACGGCGTTTATCACGTTTATCTTTCGACTATTCGATAATCCGGCGTTATTTTTTCCGAGTCTCGAAGGAGACGTATCTGCATGCACTATGTACTTAAAAAATTCCAACAGAGACTGCGCCGTTTCGTGGATTCTACGAAATTCTGGACGCTTCGTGTCGCTTTCGTCCGACAGTTTCTTTTCCTCCACGCTTCCCCTAGTCGAAATTATAATATGGCACCTTCGTACAAACAACAAAATAAGATATTTCACGAGTCTAACGCCCTAAAAAAAAAAAAACAAAACAAAAAAGAGAGAAAGAACAAAGGAAGAAAAGAAGAAGAAGAAGAAGAAAGGAAAAGGTATTCTACACGAGTCTTGTCTCATGGAAAACTTCGCGAAAGAAACGCGTCTACAATCGAACGTCGACGGAGCATTTCCTTTCCCTTTTATACGTTAGACGCATAGAGAAATGTCCGTAACGTAAGGAAGTGGCACTGGCAGATTGAAAGGGAGGTCGTCTCGAAACTGAAGTTCATCGTCATTCGCGCGATCGATTATACGGCAGCGCCCTCCGGCTGCGCCCGAAAGATCCATCCAGCGCACGCGACTGGCGCACGCTGCTCGCTTTACCTTTGTGTTTTCATCCAAAAATATAAATTTACACTAATATACAGTACATTCCCCCGTGTCGAGCGCTCTTCGCGTACAAACACGTTCAACAAGTTTACACGGGCCCTACGTGACCGTGTAAACGTCCGACGAGAAACGAGCGACGTTGGCTCTCCGGGTGGCGTAATTTTACATGCTTCACACGATACTGTTTAACACAACGTTATATCGTTCACGGTTATCTATTGGCTGCTGATTAATCGTAGTGCGTTCGTCACCTACATTTATTACGGCGCGCAGCGTGTCGGCGAGCATTGTCGGCGAAACGACGAAACGCTCGGCGCGATCTGTCGGGAGGAGAAAGGAGGAGAAGAGTTGACGCTCGCGCGCCGAGTCAGTTCGAAATATCGCGACAGAAATATCGGATATATGCCGCCCTCCGGTGGGGAAAAAAAAAAAAAAAAAAAAAAAAAAAAAATAGCCAGTCGAGTTCTGGAACGAGATAAAATTCGAAAATATCGAGTCGCTGTTTTCACACCGTTTTTTCCACACCTACGAATCAGTGACTAATTATTCGACGCGATCGTGCGGCGCGACTCAATTACTAAAAAACGTGCTGCAACCCCGGGAGATGGTGATCGAAATGCATCGATTAAATGGATCACGCGTACACCACACTACCCGCCCCCCCCCGCCCACCCGCCCGCCCGCCTACCCCCGCGACCTCTCCGCCGCCGCGTCCCGCGCCGCGTCGAAATCCCGATAAGGCCGTACAGGTGGTTGGCGTCTCTCTCCTTGTGATTTAAAATGGCTACGTCATTACCTTGTTTATCGCAAATAATGAGATCATCAAATTTAACTTTATGATCACGCGGATAATTGTCGTAAAAATTCGATAACGCAGCTGCAGTGGGGCTCGCGCGCGAGAAAATTTGTAGTTTCACGAAGAGAAACGAGCCCGCTTTAAATAACACGCGCGCGATACAGATACAGATACAGATTAGGTAAAATATCGTCGTCGCTCTCTCCCCCTCTCTCCCCCTCTCGCCTGCTTTCTCGTCGGCGCAATTCACATCTCCCTTCTCGCGTCGCGAGAATTCGTTCCAAAACTCGTCGGCGCAACATAGGCTCATGCGCTCGATTATGATTCACGAACTGATGGGTGAATAAATGTAGGCTCAGATCATTCGGTTTTTATTGAAGTTCTCGCGGCTGCGGCTGCTGCTGCTGCGGCTGCGGCTGCGGGTTGCTGCTGCTGCTGCTGTTGCTGCACGGAGTGTAAGTGACGGAGTCGTCACTTGTCGGTGAGAGGGAAAACATTGAATACACGGATAAGATGTTGCGTAGTTTATAAGATGGGTACGTTCGAACGTAATTCTGGTTTTCGTCTGATACTTATCTACGTGAGTGTGTGTATGCGTGCGTGCGTGTGTGTGTGCGTGCGTGTGTGTGTGTGTGTGTGTGTGCGCGCGCGTGCGTGCGTGCGTGCGTGCGTGTGTGTGTGTGTGTGTGTGTGTGTGTGTGTGTGTGTGTGTGTGTGTGCGCGCGCGCGCGCGCGCGTGCGTGCGTCTGTTTGTGTGTGTATATACAGCGGTGGCGATAATTATCTCTAATTTACAGTACCTGATCTAGAGAGAGTAACAAATTTGCTATCTTACAGTGACTTTTATACAGCGAAATCGAAAGGATGGGTATGTGTGTGTGTGTGTGTATGCGCGTAAATACGTGGGTATGTGTGTGTATATCTCGATCGTGTGCGCGGCGACGATTAACGAGTTCTCGATGCCGACTCCCGAAGATTCCTCGTTACTGCGAGCACCAATATAATCGCCATCGGGCATGGAAGGACGAATCCGGCTGTTCGGTCCGTTCGTCTCAGCGATACGTCTACATTAACAGCGATAAATACCGACGCGAACGTCTCGCTCTCTAGTCCGCCCCGTCCGAGAGAGCTAATCGTGACACCTACGAGACACGAGCGCGCGCGCTCTCTCACTACGTTTACGTCGGTTCGCTCGTCGCGAGCTCTCTCATCGTGCCCCTGCATTACGGTAATAACGACGATACAAGCTACGGATTGGATTGTCTTAATCTAGAATCGTGTATCGCGTGCGGACCGGGAGTCGATGGTCGTTTTTCTTTCCTTTTTGTACGTATCGAGAGAGAGACGCGTGTACCTTTACGAAATATAAGAATCTTCTCGATCGAATCTTTTTTTTTTCTTTTTTCTCGGCTTGCTGCGTGCCTGGCTCGCGCAACAGTTGACGCAAGCGCGAGCTTTCGAAGAGAACACTATCCGCGACGCTACATCGGAGGGGAGAGGGGGGCGGGGGGAGGGACCGTACTATTGCTATTTTCAATAGATTCTGCACACCGATCTCCGTTAGGTTTAAATACAGTGCAGTTCGTGAGCCGCGCGCGCGACCCGCGCGCGGTCGCATTTTTGCGAGAGACGTGACGAACCTGCGCGTGAAGAATCACCGCGAGAATTACGGCGGTGCGGCGTGCGTCGGGCTGGGGGGAGGGGAGGGAGGATGCTGACGCAGCCGACATGCGTGATGCGTGCGTTTTCACCGTTCATCGCGAAGAATGTGACGTAAAACATTACGAACGTAAAATTAGAGATAAGTCGCGGACGAGCGGCAGGGGGGAGGAGGCGGCGGGGGCGAGCGGAGGGAGGGGGGCGGAAGGACGATTCCCCCGGCCGTATTTTCGGCGGGCGATCGATGTTTTCACCGTTCACGAGTGCGGAGGCGCGCAGACACGAGCAGGGACCGCATCCTCCCGAGAGTGGTGTCTTCCGGCGCCATATCTGCCGGCAGACACGATGGCCGGCCTCGGCGAAAAAAGCCACCCTCCAGGCAGCTATCAACCCCTCGGCGCGAGCATTCGTTCCCTCCCGCAACGAAATCAGCCTCATCGCGCGCGTCTCCGCCGCACACCCTAAACTCTCGCGAGAATATATTTCGGCGCGCGCGGGAGAAAGAGAAGGAGAGAGAGAGGGAGGGAGGGAGGGAGGGAGGGAGGGAGAGAGAGAGAGGGAGAGAGAGCGGAGCGGCCGCCTACGTGTCTGCGGCTCTCCCTTTCAATTTCCACGCGCGGTTCGCGGCCGCCCTTACACGAAGGAAAATATTTGCCGGAAACCGATACAACGTGCGGCAAACAATATGCGCCCGGCGGTATCCAATAAATCCGGTAATAAAGCCCGCCGATATACCGAAAAACAAGAGCGCTGTAAATTTAATGAATGCTCTTGACATCGATCGATTTTCGGCAAACTAAACGGGAGAATTCGCGCGTCGGCTGAAAATGAAAAATAACTCAAGCGGCGCGCGTCGCGCGGAAAAGGAGAGGAAGCCGCGGTCGGCGGACGCCGCGCGACGAGACTCGCTCCCGAGGAAAATGTCCTTCTCCTTTCCCCTCTCCTCTCTGTTCTCTTCCCGCTGCGGATGGAAGGGACGAGAATTTTGCGCGCGACGACGACTCTCGACTCTCGCGAGATTTTGCACGCGCAGGTTTCTCGACGCGACGACGACGACAGCCCGCGCGCGTATCGTTCGCGCGTACTATCGCGAGAGAATAGGTAAGTACCCTGCGTGACCCGGGTCATGCGTATACATCTACGAAATCTAGACCAGACACGAAGTGAGGAAGATGTGAGATCGGCTCGAGTTGCAAAGGTTCACCGTCCGTCCGTCCGTCCGTCCGTCCGTCCGTCCGTCCGCGTGAAATCCCGCTCCGCGTGAAATCCGGTCGTTGGTCAAAGAGGAACGGAAAAGAGAACCGTCGTGTGTCGTTGGTGTGATTTCGGGGGCAGCGGCAGGGAGGGGGAGGGGGGGAGGGGCAACTTAATTGCGACGAGTAGCTCGTGCTTAAAAATTTCCGCGACGGCGGCACATCCCGATGCGTCGATGCGGGCGTTGGCAAACTTACAAATTGTCGAAGAAGGTGGAGAGGGTCGTGGCGGGCCGGGGAGAACCTACATCCTATCGTCTAACCTAATCGAGTAGCTTCGTGTAGATAGGTATTGCCTTTGAGAAAATTGACGGTCGTAAACGTTCGTGGACGCGAGTTGCTTCATTCGGCGAGTGCCGGTCGTCGAAGGATCAGCTCCGACGACCTCGGCACGTCGCCTCGGTCGAGCTGAAGAGCGCGGCGGGCTCCTTCCCGCGCCTGGCCCAGGAAGCGGCGAGTCTCGACGGCGCGCTGAAGAAACCGCTCTTGGCTCTCGCGGAGAGACGACGGAGGGACAACGGAGGGAGATTTTCGAACACTTGCGTCGCATGGCGTCACTCGGCGGCCGTCCCGCGCACCGTTCCGGCGAGAACGCAGCACGTCTCCGAGCCGGAGCGGACCTGTGGCATCGTCCCGAAGTGGCGTCTCAACTCCGCGTCTCTACGGCTCGTCGCCGTCGCCGCCCGACGCCGCGCCCCGTCTCGACGCGAGGCTGAGCGCGCGGAAAATCACGTCGCACGAGAAAATCAGTCGATTCACTCACTGGTGTCGGAATTGTGCACAGGAGTGGTCGCCGGTGTGCTCGGGGCCTGATGCTGCGTCGACTGCGTCGGGATCCCGAGGGACGCGAGGAGCGGTCGAGGCACCGCGCCCGGGGTGGCGCTCGGCGGCGGCGGGCTCTCCTGGCCTACGAGCAAGCTCGCGGGCGGGAACCCGAAGAGCTGGGATCACTGGAGCCTCGGCCAATAGTTGCCCGCCAGGTCCGGGGTCTGCGACGGGATCTGCACCGGCACCGAGACGCCAGCCGATATCACTCCTGCAACAGTCCGAAGTGTCGGAGGGTTGAGCGCGCGACGGCCAACGAGCGGCGACAACGAGCCGTCTTCGGCCGTGAACGGCTCAAGCCGACTGGGAAGGACGCCGGGATTGGACGGGGTTCTGCCGCGTCAGACGTTTCGCCGCGTTTATCCACGTCATACATTTCGCCTTCTCTCTTCAGCTTTGTATATAAATAATACAATAAACATCTTTTTCACAAGATGTCGATTCCTCGCGTGGACTGGTGGCGCGTCGTCTCGCGAAACGGCGTCTCAGGCCAGGTCGCGGATGATTCGCGGGAGAGAGAGAGGGAGAAAGGAAGAGAGAAAGAGGAGAGAGAGAGAGAGAGAGAGAGAGAGAGAGAGAGAGAGGGAGAAAGGAAGAGAGAAAGAGGAGAGAGAGAGAGAGAGAGAGAGAGAGAGAGCATCGTTAATCGCGTGATACGCGACGCGGCTAATTCGCGAAAAACGAGCGCGCGCGTATTTACGGAAGGCGACGCGAGAGAGACGCGTCGCTCGCGGCGGCGGCCGCATAAATAGAATTCGGCTATGATAGTTGCGTGGCGGCGGCACACTTCTGCAATTTGAATTAAACACTTTAACGAGCTGCGTCTAATCCAATATAAACTTGCGCGAAAACATTTACCGAGTCTATACGAGCCCACGTCGCTCTCGCGCAACTTGCTTCGCTCGTCTACGAGCGCGCGCGAGCTACAATTATGGCGTAAACGCAAGACGGCCGATTTTACGAGCGTTACGACGACGACGACGACGACGGCGTCGCGCCATAATTGCCGCGACGAAGATTAACCGCGCAAGCCCGCCTCTTTGTAACGCGACTTTGTAGCGTTCGCACGACGACGCGATATCGACGTGAAAATTCACCCGGCTGCGTCTCGTCATCCATTCGTTCGTCATCGTGAAATTTCACGCGGCCGCCGCTCGGATAAAGTCGCACGGAGCCGAGAACCGCCGGTCGAGCTTCCTCTCGCGGTTTCATCCGCGCGAGTCCTCGCGGGAACTCGCGCGTTCGGTCGCGGCCCGGTCCAGAACTCCATCTCAAAGTTGAAGAGCGCACGGTGAGAGGAGAGGCGCGGCGCGGCGCGGCGTTTCGTCTGGCCGAGAGAGATAATCGAATATCCCGCCGTCCACCCCGTTCACCATCCACGTTCACGCCAGCTGCGCGACAGCCTCGGCCGGTTACGCGCGTTTCCGCGGTCGGACGTTAACTCCGGGCTACGGCTACTTAGCTATGAAAACGGGCGCCGTTAGAGCCGGCGGGACAGGCGCGGCGCTAACGAGCGCGGTGAAAGTCCTTACGGCGCTCGTGCACGTAAAGCGATTATGATGGATAACCCGCGGCTCGTTCCGCACGTAAGGAGCGGGCGGACGGACGGACGAACGGAGGGGGAGCTCGGGAGGGGGACATGGTGAAACGAGGGGGCGAAAGAGCGGAAAGGAAGAAAGGCGGCCGCGAGAAGAGTGCGGGAGAGACGCGGCGAGAGGGACAGCGAGCGCGCGGGGTGGGACACGTTGCGCGTGTTCCGCAGTATTCCACCATTCCGGCTTGCGCTCCGCTCCGTTCCTGTAGGTACGCCGCGCACCCCCGTATTTCCTCCCCTTTGGGTTCGCACGTTATTGAGCGCTCGCCCAGCCGAGGCGAGACCCAACCCATCCACATCCTCTGTTCACCCCTGTATATCCTCAGGAGAGAGAGAGGAAGAGAGAAAGAGCCGGCGAGAGAGAGAGAGAGAGAGAGAGAGAGGAGGAGGGGAGAGGAAGAGACGAAAGGGGGACCGGAGGGCGACGAGAGGGACGGATAGATGGATAGACGGATAGAAGGAGCGAGCGCATCCCCGAGGACGGAAGGGTGTAGAGGCGAAGGGGGCGAGAGAAAGGGAGAGAACGAGGCGGCGCGGCGGGCTGCGAGAGGAGGCGCGACCCTCCGTGGCTTTCGCTAAACGGGAGACGAGGGGGGCCGAGATGTAGATAGACGAAGAAAAGGGATGACGGAGAGAAAGGGAGGCTGCCGAGAGAAAGAGACTCGGGAGAGAAAAGAAACACAGCCGAGGAGCCGGAGGAGTCTCGAGCGGCACGTAGAAAGAGGGAGACGGAGAAATAGACGGAGAAACACACACACACACACATAGAGAGAGAGAGAGAGAGAGAGAGAGAGAGAGAGAGAGAGAGGGAGAGAGAGAGAGAGTGAGAGAAGGAGGAAGGGAAGGAGAGAAGCAGAGCCGAGAAAATGGAAAATTCACCAGCTACATCGCCGGGGTTGGAAAACCGCCGAACATCCCATTCTTCGATTCAGCCCGGCGGCGCCATGCGAGATTTGTTTTAAAATCCTTTTACAATTCCGTGGGCGAGTGTGTAGCTGCGACCGCGCCGTCGCTCGCTCGCTCGCTCTTTACATCCTCTCCCGCCCCCTCGCCCTCTCTCTCTCTCTCTCTCTCTCATTCTCTCACTCTTTCTCTCTGATAGCGGGGCTATGTAGATTGCGTGTGAAGAGGCTTCCAGGTAATTCTCGACGCTTTATTTCGCGCTTTGAGCCGGCTAGAGCGCGAGGAAGAAACGGCAGCAGCGCGCAGGGCGAAAATTGGAAACGAAAACCTGTACTGCTTTCCGCCGCGGTCTCGTTTGTTTTTCCGATGTATTCCCGTGTCGGATCCTCCGACATCCCCGATGGGGATTTCGAAATTTCATCTGAGCAACCGAAAAGCTACGAGGAGAGATCTCGCGGCGGTAATCCTCGCGCATAGAAGGGCACTCTCGTCGTCGTCGGAGCCCGACGACACAATTGCAGCGGAATATTTCAAGCGGATCTCGGAAGCGCGGAACAAATTGCCGAGAGAAGCGACCAAGGTTGAGTCGGAAAACTTCGCTGAGGAGAAAGGAAAGGAGATCGCCCTCGATATTTGGCTATCGTGGATCGTGGTGTCGGAACATTCGGCGAGAAAGAGAAAGCAGCTCTCTATCGAGAGTTCGCTAATTATTTTCGGCGCAACCTTAAATCAGCGCCGAGTGACCTTGGAAGCACAGGGAGCAGGAAACGCAGCAAATTACTCGTGATGAGGACTCACCGGTCGCGGTCGAGGTCGTCGGCTGGTAGGGTGCTCCACCGGGGCCGGCGGGTTGTCCTCCCGGCGTCGCGGGGGTGCCGCCGTGAGACGTCGGGATGCCGCGATGAGGTTGCGAGTGCGCGGCCGCGCTGTGCGCGTGCGAGTAAGACTGCGTGAGCGAGTGGAGCGGCTCGTGGAACACGTACGCCGGGTAGCCGTCGGCACGTTGCTGAAGACAGCTTCCGCCCATTGACCCGCCCAGGCTGCTTGACATCGAGCTGTGAGTGAGAAAGGTATTCGCGTTCGGACAACAACAATAACAACAACGTCGCTGGCGACGGACGCGCGCGACGTGCAGCTGACGAAACTTGCTGATTGCGCGGCTACCGCAAGATGTCTCGCGCTGAAACGACGGCGGAATTTGTGAAGGGAGAGAGGAACACGAGCGAAAGTCGCAGTACGAGGTCTCTCGCTAAAAAAAAAAAGACGGGGAGGAGGAGGAGGAGGAAAAAAAAAAAACAAAAACAATGATCTCGGTTTGCTCGGCAAGCGGAGCGGCAAGTCCTTGCTTGTCGTCGCTTGTTCGCGCGCTGCGACTTTCACGCCCGCGCCGAGGGGAGCCGCGGGGGAACAATGCGGGAACGGCTTGTCACGAAATTCTCCTACCTGTACGTGTCGGGCATGGTGGCGATTGGTTGCGGTATCGACGAGTACATGGCGTTGAATCCGGCGTTTAAGGGCAACCGTGGCGTAGCGGGGGTGGCCGCGGGGGGTGCGGCGCCGCTACCCCCGCCGCTGCCGCCGGCAACCACCTGATCGACGGCCGCCCTCCTCTGGTTCCGTAATTTCTCCTCTCGACGCCACTTCGCCCTGCGATTACTGAACCACACCTGCAACCGACACAATGACGGTGCCTTTGTCACGATAAGTGTGCAGCCGCACACTCGGTGCCGGCACGGTATTTCGTATCATCCGCACTCGTCCGCATTCGCACTCATTCGCGCTTGTTCGCGCTCTCCGCAATTCTCTCCTCTGCTTCCTCTCTCCAGGGAGGAAACCCTCCCCGAACCACCCGCCCTCTTCCCTCTCTCTCACTCACTCACTCACTCATTCACTCTCTCTCTCTCTCTCTCTCTCTCTCTCTCTCTCTCTCTCTCTCTCTCTCTCTCTCTCTCGCGCCCTCGTTTCCTCCCTCTTTGCGCCTTAGCGTCTCTATCCGACCGATCCTCTCTCGTGCGGCGCTCCCGACGTAGCGCGAAATCTAACGCCCAGACTCTCTTTCCGCGTCCCACGCGACAGCCGCGCGCGCGCGGGTTTGCAGCAGGCGCTCCTCCAGTTTGTTAATTGCGATTGAGCAGTTGTCAGACGGGAAATTGAGTTACTCTTGCTCGCTTGGTCCCTTCCTGCGCACCTTTCGCTCTCTCGCGCAGCCTCTCCTCTTCTCTCTCTCTCTCTCTCTCTCTCTCTCTCTCTCTCTCTCTCTCTCTCTCTCTCTCTCTCTCTCTCTCTCTCTCTCTCTCTCTCTCTCTCATTCTCTATTCGCCTCCTCCTCTACCTGCCGCATCTTCGCCGTCGCGCGCATTTACACGCGTCTTTCTCTCTCCCTCTCTCTCCTGCCGAGCGTCTGGTTGTAAATCGCTCCGAACTCGATATCCGATAAAGAGCGCGCCGTGGATAACGCGCGGTTGCGAGCGCGCCGAACAAATTATACATCGCATTATCGACGCGCGATCCCGTTGCCGTATTGGTCTCTCGTCGATTAACGTTAATTCTATCGCGTTTCGCCGTGTCCTCTCGACGTGTTCACACACAGCGGGATCGTGTAAAAATATCCGAGGCGAGAAAAGAGAAAGGAACCGCGGAATCAACGGCACCCTTCTGATTCAAGCTAATTGTCCCCCTTCTTTCCTCGCCCCCCGCCCCCCGTCCCTCGCTACGTCGACCAGTGACGTTCCGAGTGCTATGACGCAAGATCGTACAATAAATCGAGGCTTACATTCCTTGCTGCGCTTGCAGGGATTTTCTGCTTTTTCTGATTCCTCTCAGCGATAAGAGGATTCGTCCCCTTCGATATATCGGTTTTCCCTCGCCGGCACTTACAGCAATCCATAAACCGTGCGCATTTAGCTTCCTCGTGAAAAAAGCCCTTTTCTCCGCCGCGCACTTCCATTTAGTCGCGCCAATTTCACGGGCGCCCGGCCACTTCGCGCTCTCGCGCGCGTCGAGAGATATTCGAACGACGTTCTTTATGAGCGTACTCCTCGCCGTCTCCTCGTCCTTGCAAATTCGGCGACGTTGCGAGTATCCGTCGATACTCTCGGCGGATACCGCAGCACGGCTTAATTTCGCGCGATCCGGAACGGACTCGACGGGATCAACCGGGCGATTTTAATGAATTATTTTCGACATGGCGGCCCGCGCGCGCGAGATTGCAGGACGAAGATTTCCAGGAGCGAGAGAAACGCGCGCGCGCGCGCGGCTCTCCGCATTCCGACGAGCATGTGCGTGTGCACGGATAAAAATCGAGAACAAAGCAATAACGGCAATTTCCATTTCTGTCGATTTCGGTGTAACGAATTACCACGCGTATGCGGTCGCGCGGCAAGGAGAGAGAACAGGGGAGGCGGAGGGGGAGGAGGGGGAACGCGCGGCGGAAAGAAATGCCATCAACGTAGAAATACAAGCCTTCCGCAATCTCACGTAGCACAACGCGCGGCGCTCGCTGCCGGCGAGGGCCCTCGATTGAATCAAAAAATAAATTCCGTCCTCCTGTCCTCCCATTGGCGCAGCAAATCGTGTTCGGCCACCCCACCGTCAAATATCTGCCATTCGCCCACAGCGGGCTCCTTCCGCCCAATACCATCGTCCCTCGTAAACTCGTCCTCCCTCGTGTCGAAAACTCGGCCGAATCGATCTGCACGAAAGTCCGCGATCCGAACCGCGCGCTCGTTCCTTGCCGGCGCCGCCGGAGACGCGGAGGACCGTCAATGGCCGAAATGCGGCAGGGGGACGACAACCGGTTCCGTCCGGCGCTGCTCCCCGACCTTGAAGCCCATGCCGACCTTCGTGGACAGATTTCCATAACACGAGAAAGGGACAGATTCGCGCGTCGCGACAGAGAAAGAGAGAGAAGGAGAGAGAGAGAGAGAGAGAGAGAGAGAGAAAAAGACGTCTTTCAGGACGCTCTCGGGGACTAATGGAGCGTGCGATAACGTGCGATGTGTATCCTGGTCGAGAGAAGGACGCAAACGAGCGGGAGACAAGTATCCTGGTGCGCCGCGCGCAGCGACGCTAACGGAAAGATCCGACCGGTCGAAGAAACCGGAAGATCCCCGAGCGACGACGTTGGTCCCTTTGCTCGCTTGTCGCGTCGCGTGCGACGCTGACGTGCGCCTTCGACGGAAAAATCCCGCTTTAATCCCTCGCAGCGTATCGGCCATCGCGCTCGCGCGACTCGACTTGGGGAATGCCGGCCGCGGATGATAATCGGCCGGCGACGTGGCGTGGCAAATCTCGTGGCCGTAGTCGACGCTGTGTATATATACATGTATGTATATATATATATATATATATAAAATATACATACACATATATATATATTTCTATATCTATATATATATATATATATATATATATATATATAGATGAAGAAGCGTGGGACGGGCCAATCGGAGGGCGACCTCCCTCGGGACTCGAGGTTGCCATGGTTGCGTCCGAGAACCCTCTTAGGCCTTCCGCGCGATCCCTCGCTGGGCCACGTTTACATGCCGCCGCGTCGTGCCGCGGCGGCGGCGTACCGTGTTCCATTAGAACGCCCGGCACCTTCGCTCTCTTCGTCCTCCACCACCATTCGTACATCTCGCCCTTCGACCGTTCGACCAGCCGACGATAGTCCGGCGATCGGTCCGACTCGGTGATCTCCGCCGATTCCCTCTTTCGCTCTCTCCGCCAAGGTCGACCATGTCTTTTTCTCTCTGTCTCTCTCCTTCTCCTCCCCCCTCTCCTTTCTCGCTCTCTCTTCTCTCACCTCTCGCTGTCTCCTCTCTTTCCCTCTCTCTCTCTCTCTCTCTCCCTCTCTCTCTCTCTCTTTCTCTCTCTCTCTCTCACGCTACCTCTCTGCCTCTCCCGCAGTCTCCCGTTCGCGCTCGGTCCTCCCTTTCGCTCGCTCTTCCTCGCCAAACTTCTCCTTTTCCCTCCCGCGTCGGAACTCCCGGTTTCCTGCACTTAGCAAGATCAATACCAGCCAACGAGGCTTGAAAACATGCGTCAACATGGTCTTGCACTGTTTGTACGTCCACATAACGCTCAGCGCGCCCGGTTACTACCACCACGACGCCAAACCCCGCCGGCCACTTCGCCGACCCTCCCGCCTCTTGTGTCACGGCGATGCAGGTGAGAGGAGGCGGCGGCGGTGGCGGCGAGGGGCGAGGGCACAGAGAGCGCGAGCAAACAATGTCCGATAAGGTCTGCGTACGCGTTGGCGAGCTTCTCGATGCTAATATTCGTTATAACGCGCGCGATACAGTTTGCACCTCGAACGCGATAAAAAGTCAACGGCGTGATCGAATTTCAAGTGCTGAACGTCGCCGCCACATCAACGTAAGCTCGGCGGACCGGGGGTACCAGCGATAACGCGCTTCTAATCGTCGTTTCGAGAGCTAGGCGGACTTGAAGGGGCCATTTTTGGCGACCAACGATGGAATTCGTCGCGAAATTGCTCCAAACGGTCGCGCTCGGGGAAAAGAAGCAAGCGTCTCAAATGTTCCTTCCTCGGTACTTTGGCCTCCGTCGGTTTTTCTCTCTTTACTTGTTGCTGCAATCCGACTTGACGTTTCATTTACTTTGATTATTGATATTCCGCCGCGCGACATGTCAGCCGTGGCCTTTGAAGCGTCGAGAGCGCGAGGCTGCTTCGCGCAAAAGGGACGACGAGCGGGGAATTTGCGGAAACTTGGAAAGGACGCGAACAAAGAGTCGCTGCGGTTCGCTCGGCTGAGACGCGAAGCTGAAGTTTCGCGAGTTTTCCTGATCTTATAATTTAAATGAGCGCGATTCTAGTCGGCGGTGTCTCTCGTTCTCCTTCTCTCTCTCTCTCTCTCTCTCTCTCTCTCTCTCTCTCTCTCTCTCTCTCTCTCTCTCTCTCTCTCTCTCTCTCTCTCTCTCTGATTCTCGACTCAGTCGACGTAATCAAAGATTCTTCGAATTTTCGTGGGACTTGCCAACTTGTTGGGAATGTCAGCCGCCGTCGACTACCTCTTCATGCTGCTCGATTCATTAGAGAACTGGAGGTTCGCGCTTCGCGCGTGTATTTCGTCGCTCTTTCGTTTATAAAAATTCTCCGTTTGTGAAATCCAACGGGGACACATCTTGGAGGTTAAATTGGTCGGCGGATACAGATCGAGAAAATCGCCGCGCTAGATCGGCGAGAAGAGTCCCACTGCGAGCGCGTAAGTAAGAATACGTAAATGGCGGCGAGGTAACGGACGAAAGAGGTGACAAAATCCCATTGGGAGGCTCGCACGGCCGGAGGAGCGGCGAGGCGCGGTGCGAGGGCTCTCTCGCCTCGTCGGAGGTGTTTAATGTTCCCCACGTACGACCACGTGGTCACACGTTAAAAGCGTTTAATGAAAGGGCGTCGTCGCACTTACGCCGGTCGACCCTCCCGACCGGAGGAACGGGCGGAATAAGAAGAGAGAAAGACGCGTCCGGGCGCGTGAGGCGCGGGGAGGGCGGCTACATAGGGGTTGGAGGAGGGGGGCAGGTGGGTGGGGCGAGCACACGCTGGTGGAGGAAGCGCACACACGCCGCATTCGCACATTCACACTCACCTGGATACGTGCCTCAGGTAATCCGATCTTCTCGGCGAGACGCTCCCGTGCAAACACGTCCGGGTAATGTGTCCGCTCGAATTCTGAAACGAAACCAGTTTGCAACAAGTGCTCGTTATTTAGCCGCGTCGTCGGCATTAATTATCGCGATACACGCGCTAACTCGCCGAGGAGGAGCGTCGCGCGCTCCTCCCGGCCGGCGGATATCAAAGGCTGGTGCGGGCGGGCGAAGGTGAACGCCGCCGTCGCCGTTCGTCTCGAGGGCTATCGATGGCCTTTGTGTGTGCGATCGCGAATGTGTCGCGGAGCTTTAAGCTCAAGCGACTGAGAGCGAAATCGGATCCATCGGCGAGGAATCGCGTCCAATTAAAAAGTTGGCAAGAACAATCGACGCTCGCGAGGAGGCCGAGGAGAAAACGCGCCTGCTCATGCGCGCTCATGCAATCTTCGGCGAAACGGCGTGTATAATTAGCGTGTACAGATCGCCGCGCCGGGCGGATTTCGTACTGACCTTTCTCGAGGCTGTCTATCTGTTCGTTAGAGAAGGAAGTTCGGTTGCGCTGCAATTTCCTCTTCAACCTCAGCCGCACCTGCGAGTCCTCGTCCCCGGAGGAGTTGTGCTCCGAATTACCGTCCGAAGTTGTCTCCTGTTGATGCGACAATAGAGAGCCGGTGTCTGGAACAAAAATCAATCGCCCGTCTTTCCGGTTGCCATCGTCGTCTCCATCGGCCTTAACCGAGTTCCTCGCCGCCGCCGGCTCCAACGAGATTAATTAATCCTGCTTCGCAGCCGGTGTTAAATAAAATACTTATTAATTGTCTCCTCCCCCCCTCTCTCTCTCTCTCTCTCTCTCTCTCTCTCTCTCTTTCTCTCTCTGCCGCCGTCCGCCCCCTCCCCCTTCCCCGACAATCGATCAACAATTCGACGAGCCGCGATTCTCTCCGAGTAAGCTAGGCATGGCGGTCTAATTGAGAAGCGCGCATCAATCGACCGATCTCGTAACGCGATCCACCGTTCTCGAGATTCCTAGACACCGAGGACGACTCCGCGCGTCCAGGCGTGCGCGACCGGTCCTCGGGGTCGCGACTCGTGTTGGTACGTCGGTTCATACGCGCGCCGAGGGTAGCCCTCGTCAGCCCCCGTGGGTTGCGATTACTTTCCGCCTCCGCGCATCGCACCCTCTTTCCATTCCTCCCGGTACCTTCCTGGCGTCCCTCCGTACCTCCACCCTGTCCGTGTCGGTCCCTCCGTACCGCGCGCTACAGAGACATATACACGTGTGTGTGTGTGTGTGTGTGTGTGTCTACATATATGTATGTATATGTACATACATACACCCTTATGCTTGCGTGTATTTCCGTGTGTGTGTGTGTGTGCGTGCATATGTATTATATATATGTACCGTTCGCTCGTCAGCTGCTCGCTTTCTCGTTCGCTCATCTCAACCCTCGCGCAACCCCCAATTGGACTCGACCCTGCGAAACCCCCTCGACTAGAAATACCGGCACCCCAAACACGCCTCTCCCTATCTTTCTCCTTCCCTGTCTCTCTTTCCCTCTCGCCTGGCCTCCCTTCCCGCCTTCTCGTCCTAACCGTCGCCTCCCTTCGCGCTCGTCCGTCGCACGGAACCCACCCCCGAGCACTCCTCGCGAACACCCCTGCGCGTAGAGCGAACGACCGGGGACGATCCTCGGCGGTCCGCTGCAGACGGATCGTTGGCTTTAATTTTCTAGGTGACGACGCACGCTCGCCGAAGAAAGAGAGGAGATTAGCCGCCGATGCTCTCTACGGCCCGGCCGCGCTTAATGCGCCCGCTTCGGCCAAAGTGGCCGCGATCGACCGTTCGATGCATTCCTGTGCATTCGAGTGTGCGTCCAACGGCAGTTGGATGTAACCAGCGAGGTATAAACCACCTACAAGTGGCGGTGCCTTTAACACGCGTCTTCCACTCGTACGAATTTTCTTAATTACTTTTGCTTGCGTGTTTCACTCATTATTCATTACTGATGTTGCACCCAACATCATCATGGCGCTCACACCCCAAAGGAAGTAATTTCAGAACAAGCGGAATCATCTAAATTTTAGAGGATTTTATTCTTATATATGGCCTCGAGATTCCTCTAAAGTGTCAAGAGGAAAATATTATAAACACTTTATTCTTTAAGTTAGATGGATTATATATTGTATGTATAATGCAAATCTTAATGATTTTAATATAAATTTCTTCTTTTACACAGATTATTTAATCTTTTTTAAGAGGATTATTATTTATTCTTACTGTACTTTATTCCTATTGGTTTTACTGGGTAATTTGGAAAAATTATTATAACGCATAGCGAAAAGTAATATACATATATGGATGTGTTTTTAGCTCCAGTTCTACAATAAATGGGCACGGATGAAATAAGATCATCATAACAAAGAAATTTCCAATCAGTTTTGTTATGGACTTTATAGCTACAAAGATTTTCATCGTAACCAATTGTATGTACGGAACATAGTTAAAAGAAGGAATATATTATTCAACTTCTTGCAATTACAAGATTACAAGCTGTATTTCACCAGATATGAATAAATTATCTTTGTTACAGCAACACACATACTTTTTATTAAAAGCGCTCCAAATATTCTGACCCATGAGTATATATATATATAGTTATTTTTTCGTTCATATCTGGAGGTAGAGCATGACTGAACAAAAGAAGCCGACAATCAAATCAACATATTCCTGCTCTTCATATACTTAAGAGGAAAATTAATTGATATAAGAGGAAATCTTCTTGAAATAAGAGGAAAACAGAATAATATCTAATCAATTTTAGATGAATGGTTCACTTTAATCGCTTTATCGAAAGAGGGAACCTTTTTCTGCAAAAGACCTTGCTTAGAATGTGAGACTATGGGAAAAATCAATTTACAAAAATAGAATACTTTTCTTTTTGGGCAAATCGAATCGTTGGACTCGCCTGCTCTGTTCATTCGGGTACATTTCCTTGATATCTGCGGAGAATTCGGTAATTTTTTATGAAATTTGACGACTCCGTTGGAGAAGTGGATTTTTCTCACGGGAATAATCGAAGTGGACGCATCGCGATGCGCGAAACCAAGTCCGAGAGGGACGGCAAGATTCGAGGATGTACACATTTCGGGACTCATTGAGAGCACTTTTCTACCTGCCACTCAGCCGCGACTCACGTAATCTGTCTATTGAGGGCGGCCGCATCTGGATTCGTCATCCGCAGAACGATCCCGGCTAAGAGCCGAGCCGCGGACCCGATTTCCGTGATCCTATTAGACTTATAGCGCTACACGACACGGATCCTTTTCCCCACTCGACCGCGTGTGTGCACGCGCATTGTGCGAGGCGTCGAGGACTCGGAGGCGATACAATGCGACGCATGATCCTCGTGAATCGAGCGCGAGATGATACCGCGAGTGGAGAGGATACGACGGTAGCAAGACGTCGCCGACGCCGATATAACGTAACGCAGAGTAACGTAGAGCAAAAGAGTAACATATAAAAATCGTCGCTGGCTATCGGTAATCCGTATTTACGGCGACAAAAAAGCACGCTTGCTCACAATGAAACGACGTCTCGTCTAGAGCGGCATGCGAGGAAAAAATGAGTAATACGACCGCCCAGATATTTAGAACGCGTCCAACAGCCATTGAGTCGAAATTTTAATATCGCGTGACACGCGAAAAAGTTCAGTTCGATCTTCCGCCTCCTTTCACGGTAAACCGATCGTCCGCGATAAGCAGCAGTCGGCGAAGGATCGCGAGCAAGGACGACGACGACGACGACGACGACGACGACGACAATCTTCCGGGCGCAGTCGAGCGAGGGGTTGCGGCGAAAAATCGAGCCGGAACTTTCGACTCGCTCGTTAGCTTCTCGCGTCATCGTCGTCGCCGGCAAAGCACGCTGACAAAGCCGAGACTTACCGCTCCGTTTCAGCAACGAGTCGTCGCGCCCGTGGAGCTGGCTGCCGGGCAAGAGAGTCTGGCCCGATCCGGGAGTTGCGGTTGGAATTCCCGTGGCCAACGGGTGATGGGAAGGTGTCGCCGAATACCACGCTGGCGGCCAGCCCGCCGCCTGGCCGTTGAACATTCTCAGCTTGTCGTAGACACTCTCGGCGCCCTGATGCGCCTGCACCGCGGCCGCCTGTTGCTCCTTTTGCGAGGCCAGGTTTCTGAGCACCCTGTTAATGGACGACACCTGCGAGGAGGATGGAACTTCTACTGAGAACCAATCGGAGTTGGTGCCGCTTACTAATTTAATCCTACCGGGAGTCGCGCGAGGGAAGTTCGCGAGACGCCTGGCCGGCCGGCTGTATTTTCACGCGCCGCGATTCTCATTTCTCGCCGGTCTCATCCTCCCCATCCCCCTCCCTCCCATAATAGTAATTTTCGTTTGATCCGCTCGAACGTCAACGTGAAGTGCGGAAGCGCAACTTCGGCGGTCCGACGATAATTTGTCCGTCTCCTATCCTCGAAAGTTCCGTCAACAATCTAAAGCTCGACCTGCCGAGACTCTTGAATCCTTAATGACACATAACCATTACTAATGACCCGAGATGTACAGGGATACCCCTTCGTCACTCGTTTGCGACGGATCAAGGGAAAGGGAGACAGGGAAAGGGAGCGAAACAGACCGGCGCGGCTCTTTGTAAAATCTCACGACCGCAGCCACTCGTCGTCGCCGTGTCGTCGCCGTAGTCATCGTCGTTTCGTCGTCGTCGTCGTTGTCGTCGCGTCGTCGTCGTCGTCGTCGTCGTCGTCGTCGTCGTCGGTCGTCGTCGTCGTCGTCGTCGTCGTCGTCGTCGTCGTCGTCGTCGTCGTCGTCGTCGTCGTCGTCGTCGTCGTCGGTCGTCGTCGTCGTCGTCGTTACACGAGAATCATTTCCGTCGCCGTCGCTGCGCGCCGATTGTCCGCCCCTCGCCGCCCCATATAGATCCTTCTTCCTCTTTTTCGTCCTCCCGCGTACCGCAGATGAAAGGACACCGCCGTCCAATTATTATTACATAAAACGGTCTCCACGGCTCTTCGACTCCCCCTCTAACGCGAGCACGCTCGTCCTCGTCGCCGTCGTAGTCGTCCCCGTGCTCGTCGTCGTCGTCGTCGTCGTCATCGTCGTCGTCGTCATCGTCTTCATCTTGCGCCCACGGCCGAGCCACTGGCTAACTCCGAAGTTATAACGAGCTGACGTAGTGCGGGGACCCAAGCATCGCGCTCTCTCTCAACTTGTACATAATGGTCCTCGGCGCGCTCCATACACGCGCCAACCCCTTCCTCCACCACCCCACTGCAATCGACGTGGAGCTTGGTGCAGCAGCGACCGGATATACACCGCCGTTAATGCGGCGGACGTCGGATATCGAGCGCGGCTTCTTAATTACGAGGTCGACTGAGAGCCTCCACGAGAGGCTCCGCGCGGGCACGCAAAGCCGATCCTTCTCGCGTAGTTTGACTGAAAACCAACCGAATAATGGTCGCGCGGCGCCGGCGACCGAACGACCGACCGAGAGAAAGAGAGAAAGAGAGAGAAGGAGAGAGAGAGAGAGAGAGAGAGAGAGAGAGAGAGTCATTGTCGTGGTGCAGGACGCCGGGCACAGGCGATTATTAAAGCGGACTCGAAACGACGAGACTCGAGTCGAGTCTTCGGGGAGTTCGACGACTGACGCTCGATCGTGCCCTCCCCCGTTGACTGCACTCGCCACCGTGTCGAGAAAGCGAGTGTCGTAAACACTCCTGGTCTCCGGCCGTAACGACCGTCACGACGTGACGGAGACGGTTAAGAGGCTTGAGCGAAGAGAGGTGGACGGTCTCGTTTGAATTCAATCCAACGCGAGTTTATCCGTCGCCGAGAGCGCGCGCCGGAGCTATCGAGCATTTTCGATGCGGCGCGACCTCATCGATCGACCGCATCGATCGCGCGGCCGGCCGATGGAGCGACTCCATCGAGCGTGCGCGATCCCCGTCGTCTCGGCTCGTCCCGACGTCGCGATAGATAATAACAGGCGCATAGCGGAAGCGACGTTTCGGGACGAATTAGCCCTGGCTAACCTGGACCAGGCTCTCCGTCATCAGACCATCCATCCAGTCTGGATGCTGGGAGAGAGAGAGAGAGAGAGAGAGAGAGAGAGAGAGGGTGAGAGAGAGAGAGAGAGAGAGAGAGAGAGAGAGAGAGACGCCGTCGTACCTCTCCACTCTCGCCGCACAACAGCCGCAGCGCCGATGCAGGCCATTACACGCGCGACCGGACACGAATAATTGTGCAACACGCTTAACTGATCCCATTCACCCTGATTCTACCCGCTCCCGTCCGTTCTCGCCGCCGACTAACCCCCGTCGCACCCCCGTCGCCAACCCCCGACAACACGATGTGTACCCGCCGCAACAGCCAACGCCACCGCCGACGCCACCAGCGATCCGCCGGCAGTCGAAAGAAAATCGAAGCGATCGGGGGAAAAAATGGGAGAGCTCAAGCAACGTTCGAGCTCGTCTGCGGCTCTCCGGCCGCGTTCGGAATCGGCCTCTGGAGTGATTCCTGGAGCGCTCGGCCTGATTACGTCGCGGATTTCGCGGAGCTCACGGCAATGTCAAAGAGCCGCCGCTTCGCGGAAGTATACAGCTGCGTTTAGCGCAACTCGAGGAACGTGCACACAGATATCCTTTATCCTCGAGAGCAAGAGACACGTGAAAAATCCGACGTTTCCAAACGCAACCCCGTCGCTGGAAAACGCGTTGCACGGCCGACGACGAGAACCCGCGCTGGACGTTCTGATTGATCAGCCTGCAAGCCCCCTTCATCCGCCCGCCGATTTCCCTCATCCTCGGCAGAGCTTGCTAGAGCACACCGAGAGAGAGAGAGAGAGAGAGAGAGAGAGAGAGAAAAGAGAGAGAGAGAGAGAGAGAGAGAGAGAGAGAGAGAGAGAGAGAGAGAGAAAGGAAGGGAGAAAGAATCGCTCCACGAGCCGATGGATAACGACTTGTACGCGTGCCATCCCCTTCGGTATTCCTGACGGGTAGATCGACGGAGAGGTTGGGCTGTCGAGGAGGGTGTTCTCGAAGGAGAAGCCAGACGCGGACGATTCGACCTCCGAGGAAGGATATTTCGCGCGGTCGACCGGGAAAAGGGACGCGAGAGAGAGAGAGGAGAGAGAGAGAGAGAGAGAGAGAGAGAGAGAGAGAGGGAGAGAGGGGGAGAGAGAGAAGGGGGAGGGGGTGGGCAAGATGTTTGGCAGACGGACGTACGGCCGGAGAGGATCCTTCGAGCTCTCGGGGGCAAGACGATCAGTGCTCACGAGAGGGTGGACAATGCCGAGGTCCGCGTAATGGACCGATTACCCCTCCCAGGCGATCGCATTGACGAGACTTTGATTAGGGTCGAGTGGCCGGATCCGACGGGTAAGTACAGCCGGCCGGCTGCGCGCCACGATAAGTCGCCGGTGGATTACGCGTAAACTTATACTGTGTCCAATCAATGGCCCGGCATGGCGCCGACACGGAAAATTTATTCGCGCGCCGCGATTCGGCGGGCGCGATAAATCGCCGGCGGGAGCGAGTCGCGTACGCGCATCCTTTAGGGAAAGCGACGGATTTCGTTCTCTCCTCTCATTCATTGCGCCGGCGATTTGCAACGTTAGCCGATTTCGTCGTTTGGCCAGACAAACAGACAGAGAGAGTGAGCGAGAGAGAGAGGGAGAGAGAGAGAGAGAGAGAGAGAGAGAGAGAGAGAGAGGGAGAGAGAGAGAGGTAGAGAGAGAGAGAGGTCGTTGGTGCGAATTATCAGCTGGCGGGCTGTTGATTTCTCTCCTCCCTCCTCTTGTAAATCCGTCAGAACTCGCTGCGACATAACGTGCTTTACTTACGCTGGGTATATTGTCGTTATTGCAAACGCCCTCCTGCAGGAGCCGATCACGAATTTCCCAGGCGAAGATCGACGGGCATTCCCGTTTGTAATCGGCGATTTTGTTCACCACAGGGGTTGTCGCCACCCGTGGCTTGCTGCCGCCGATCGCCCGTGGCTTGATCGAGCCGGTCTCGTAATACCTGCGAAAAAGAGGATCGTTATTTCCGCTTAGCGCGCGTTAAAGTTTATGTCGCGCGGCCGGCCGGCCGGTGCGGTTATTGAAAAATGTACGGGAGACTTTGTAGGAGGAATCTTCCATCGAGCAGGAGATTGATAGCCCGCGATTGACGGGGCTACGCGATCGCGCCAGTGTGCACGGTGTATAATAACGTAAAAGATTCACCGCAAACAAATTCCCCCTTCGTCCATGCGCCCGTAGCTGCAAAGTTTCCACGAGCACCGACAGAATAATTAAGAACAGAACAGGACGAGACGTGTCTGCACGGAAAAAACAGCTCCGTCGATGTAGGGTAAGTCCGGGATAAATGGGCATAGGGGATAGATGATCAATTGCTATAATTTTGTTAATATATGCTAGGCGTCAGCACTGATCGGTCAGTTGTGAATTGGATATACCACGAGTAGGTGCGTCTCTTCCTGATGCATAAAAACACTGTTATTGTGAGTAAATAAATGTTTTATGTTTCTATTAACCTCCAAAATGTCTGAAACATCAGAAAAATATCTCGCGAATGCGGCTTATTTTGAATTACATTAGATCTGGGCTTAAACGACTAAAAAAATATCGCATTTGCGTGCTTAACCTCAAAATTCGTCACCGAGACTACGTTTCACGCGGTATACGCATCTTTACGCGAACCCTCCAAACGGGATAGATGGTTCATTTTTATCAGGCTTAGATGGGCAGCCTATTCAGCGAGAAATAACAAGCAATGGATATCGAATCGACATTTTCTACACGCTTTGGACGTATAAAAGACGCCGATCCGATATCTATTCGACTATCATTTTTCCTGGGTGCCTAACATTAAAAACTTCAGTATATTTTGAACAGCTTCTTGTTTCGTTTAAAGATGCCGAATAGATTTCTTTCTTTTTGCTCTCTTTAATAAACAATGGGTGCATTCACGACACTCAACGGTTATGCAACTGTTGAGTGATTTCGTCCTGAATGCTACTAAGCGATGCGCTCACTCGCAACATGTTGAGTGAGCGGTCGCTATTTTTCTCATCATAAATATTCGTCGCTACCTTTACTGATCAGTCTCCGATCCAACATGGCGCAGCCCATGAATAAAGAAAATAACAAAGAAAATAGTCATATAAATCCAAATATTTATAGCGGGGAGTGTCAAGGATGGTGTAGAATACATTGTAACAGACAGATATGAATTATATTTATAAAAATACTTAATAATTACTAAACACATAAGTGCGTAGACGGGCCGTAATATTTAGTACGTTTATCTGACATTCTTTCCGCGCAACAAAATCGAGCAGAACTCTGATCAGTTGCGTTCAGTGTACATTTCTACTGTTCACTCATCGCTCACTCATCTGATGCTCAACTTTTGTGCAACTGTTGAGCTTCGTGAACGCAGCCAATATTTTCCCATAGGGTCTTTTTCTGTGTTGTCGCTTTTCAACCTTCTCTCCAATGTTGTCCTTAGTTTCTATAAGAAACTTGTAGAAATGTTTTATTTCATTAATAATTAATAAAAGGATCAATAAAAAGACTATTGATCAATAAAAGGATGTAAAATACTGAAAAGATAAGTGAAGATGAACAAATTTCTATATTATCATAAGTACGCCCAATTATTCCTTCACCATATATGACCATCTAACTCGGACGCACCTGACCATCTATCCCCCTCACAGGATATTTTTAATATTTCGTTATTATTAGCGACTCATGAATTTCCTGTTTTCACAAAAATCTTTCTGTACCTTAAACATTATCCTCTGCTGAGTGTGTTAATATGTTGTTGATCATTCAATGGCAATGTGTTATTTCCAATTAAAAAAACTATGCCCGGACATTGATCCCGGACTCTTACCCTAAGTGAAATTTCCGAGACCAGACGGAACGGACTCTTGCAGGAGCCGAGAGATCCCTGCAGGAGAGCTTTCTAGTCAATCGATTGTTCTCACTTATCTCCAGTGACTTCTGATACCACCGAGCGTTCCGACAAATTGTTTCGGTCGCCGTGTACGACAACGAGTTCTCGTCTGCTCCCTATTCGGTCTGCGATCTTTCCTTCCGACGGATCTCCAACGGTCGGCAGTGGATTTCGAAAGAGAGGCTCACTTACCTGCCGAGGATTTTGGAGACGCAGCCATTGCTGACCTGCAATATGCGCGATATGTCGCACGGTCTGGCCCCGCTGTGGGCTAGCTCGACGATCTTCTGCCTCGTGGAGTCCGGCAATGGTCGGCCATTGACGTAAACGCCGCCGAGCTGGTTAACCCCGCTGTGTCCTGCAGCCGAGCACCCAAATATTGAGTTCTGTCCGACCATAGAACCCCCGCCAATACCCGCGCCACCCCCGTGCATCAAGTCCTCCTCTGTGAATCAAAACGCGCGCAACGTGTACGTCACTTCGCCAGAGAACATCTGATTGGTAAACAGCAGAGTATACGCGTTCCGAACGCGTTCTTATTAGTCTAATTAGCGCTCGCGCCCGTCAGATCCTGCCGAAGCGTCAGATTGAACGCCAAGGTAGATGTTTGCGCCGCGATCATACGCTCCGCCGCCCTGCGGATGTCACGTAACGAAGATCAGTTTGACCCTTGCGCGCCGATTAATTCCGTGCCGTGTGTATGTGTGTATATATGTATGTGTGTGTGTATGTGTGTGTGTGTGTGTGTGTTGCCTTATTACGGACGTTTATACCCGTACACATCGTCGTAGCGTCGTGCGCGCGGAAACGGAAATGCCTCGCGTACGATACTAACGACGGTGGTAATAATTGCGACGCGACGGCACAATGGCGCGCAACGCCGCAACGACGGGCGCGCGCGGCTACGTGTCGTGTAATTTAGCCGTCACAAGGGAGGATCTGTCGGATCTGTAAAACGATCAAGCTTACAACGTACAAGATAGACACGCACGCGCGCGTACCCGCTTGGCTGGATGCGACGTCGATAGCGTCGGGACTCCGAAGAACGCGAGGTGCCTCGCACGGCGAAAAGGAACGACTTTCTTTTTGCTTTTGACACGCGCGCGCGAGAGTGGACCTCTCGGTCCTTCTCGTTACTTTGTTAAATTCTCGTGACGTGACGTTGGCGCGAGGAAAAGGCACCGCGTGCGGACGACGACAAGAGAGAGCGAGAGAGAGCGAGAGAGAGAGAGAGAGAGAGACTCGAGGAGAGCCAGCAGCAGCGTTGCTAAATGCATCTTGCAATTAACGAATTTAATTAATTCCCGCTTTTGCGCCACGTAAAGCGACAAGAAATAGTTGGAATGTAATCTTGAATCGTCCGCGCCGCCTCCGTCGCTATACGAAACCACTTTGTATAACGACGCGTTTTCTCGCTCGCCGTTTCTACTTCCTCTCCCTCTCTCTCTCTCTCTCTCTCTCTCTCTCTCTCTCTCTCTCTCTCTCTCTCTCTCTCTCTCTCTCTCTCTCTCTCTCTCTCTCTCTCTCTACGTCTCTCCTTGTACGTGTCTCTTCCTCTCGTGTTCGTGTTTCCTTCCGTCCTTCCGCCACTGCTGTCCTGCCTCGTTTTCGCTGACACGAAAGGATTGAGAATCCGGTGCGCGTTTTGCGATCACTCGCGCGAAAGTGTCAAGGACAGATGGCGCGATTCTTACTTCAACGGCGAATTCGCAAATTTGAGAGAAAATAATGTTCTCTCGCATGCGATGACGCGGTGTGCTTAGTGACTGAAATATGCGATAATACTTTTATAGTCATTAAAAATCCAGCGTACGCCCCAGTGAGACTGAATAACTGAATGGAAAGAAAAAAAGGAAAAAAGGAAAGAAAAATAAAAATATACATGTATTTCTTTCAGGCTCTCCCTTTATATAACCCTGAATATCTGAGAGTAAAAATTATTTTACGGGACTCTTGATAAAAATAACAGCCCACCTGGAATTTCATCAGTTTCCGCGTAGAGCCACCTCTGCGGAGTGTTTCTCTCTCTCTCTCTCTCTCTTTTTCTCTCTCATCCGCGTCAGGCACGATACGTTCGCCTATGATTCCGCGCCTATCGCGAAAGGTTTCCCTCACAGCTTCAACCGCCCTCGCATTATAACCGGGGCTTTTTAAGCGAATCCCGAGCACGGTGAAAAGGAATAACGGGGATGGAACACGGCGATGGAGAACGAGGAGCGAGAAATTGGAGTCGAGAGTCTTGTTACAAATAATTCCGCGACGAGGCGCCGCGGAAATTTTCGAGGAGGCACTTCTTACTTTTTTCCATTTTATCGCGGAAGCAATTCCGGATTCTGCAACTCGCGAATGCGTGAACAGAGAGAGATAGAGTGTGAGAAAGAGAGAGAGAGAGAGAGAGAGAGAGAGAGAGAGAGAGAGAGAGAGAGAGAGAGAGAGAGGGGGAGAGAGAGCAGGGAAGAGGGGCAGGTTGCAGATAGAATTATTTTTTGCAGAGCGTTGCTCCGCGGCCATATTTAATTCCGTTGCTTCCAGCGAAGTAATGGTAAACGTTTTGAAACAGATCGCGAGATATTTCGCGTGCGCGTTTAAAAAAATATGGAAAAATTCTGCCGCGCTCCGGCTGATTGTGTTCACGGCTGCATGTCACAACGAATAACACAACGTGCGATTTCGCGCACGACTCGTCGATCTGTGCCGATTCCCACCGGACGCCGTCGTTCGCCGCGAGGTACAGCCGCGGCGAGACATTTTCTTCGAAGCAATTAAAGACGACGCTCGCTGTAACTTCTTCCGTGTCGATGATTTAATGAATATTCATCCGTTGCTCGAATTAATAAGACCGCGTAGATCCGCGAATGGGATCGCGCGCGTAATGAGGAGGACACTCTGAATTGTAATTTGCAGCGCGGCACGTAACGTGCGTCGAAAACCGGCTGCGAGTAAACGGCTTCGTTATTTATCCCCGTTTCGTTTTTTCCCGCGCATACGTGCGATCAGTCATCTCAGCACTATCCGCAACTATCGATATCAGAGAAAAAGAGAAAGAGAGAGAGAGAAAGAGAGAGAAAGAGAGAGGCGCCGCGGTCCCGCGACTCGCGCCATCGCCGTGGCTGAATAATCCCCGCGTTTTTAATGAAACAGGCAGCGTTTCGCACGAGCTCGGTCGATCCAAAGACGCTTTGCGCTCTTTCGAATCGCTTCATCCTTCCGGCCGAGCGGCTTTGCGTTAAAAATAGGCGCGACGGCAGGGCGGAGCTCGACGGCCTCGTCCTTTGAAGGGACGAGCGGCGCGCACGAGTCCGTGCTGTTTTTCACGAGTTTAATTCGTTACAAAGGGTGGCGAGTGTGCACGACTTAGCTGCACACGTATACGCGCGAGATTCACCCTTTCGCCCTCCGCCGCACCGCCGTCTTTCGTCTCCCGGGGGGGGGTGAGGGGGAGGGCGGTCACCAGCGGCCGAGGGGGGGACGACGTCGGCGCTGGAGGGCTCGAATATCGTACGAGAGCCCGACGCGCCGACGACGACCCGTGCATACACCCGCCGCGCCGGCCGCACACATTCTTTATATATAATTTCGCGTTAATCTACGCGGCGGTGCGGCGCAAAAGCGAGTCGCGCCGCAAAGTGAGGCAAAAAGGTTCCACTTGGCTGAGCGTGAAACGGGACACAGATTAAATCCCATCCTGTGCAACCCCGGCGCACGACGTCGCGGCACCCTCGTCCTCCCCGGCGCTCCGTTCCGTTCCGCTCCGCTCTCCTCTGCTCCGTTCTCTTTTCTCTCTTCCCCCCTCCTCTTCGTTCGCCGCCCGCCCCCGCGACGCTTCGCTCGGTCCGCTCGGTCGAGTCACCCTCCGTCGTCCTCGCCAAACATCCCCCGAATCTCCGCTCCGGGCGAGAGACGGTCTTTAAGCGCGGAAACGATCGCCGGTCGTTTAAGATGCGCGGATAGGCGCGGCTTTCTCTCTTTTTCCCTCTCCCACCCTCCCTCTCTTTGATCGTGAGAGACGAGAAATCTCGTCGCGAGAAAGATCCCGCTTTGCTCGTTCAGCACGCGTAGTTGAAGACTTGAGGCCCTGAGGTCTGAACCTCACGTGAGAGGTCTCTCAGCGCGACGCGGTAACTGAAGGTTGCCGATCGAAAGTTTCGTCTTGTGGGAAAATCTGAAATTTCGAATCGTTCATAATAAATACCACAGCGCGGATGTGTTTGACGTTGAAGTAGATTTGCTTTCGACCCCGCGGAACGGAAGTTCTATTTTTCGCAGCCACGAACTCGCGACTCTGGTGGCAACTCGCGATATTGATCTTGCGGGCTTGTCGTTAACTTTTATTACTTGCGAGAGAAAAGGTAAATTGCACGGGATATTTATCCGCGATGTTTGCGCGCGCCCGCGCGCACGAGGGGAGGGGAGCCCGTCGAAAACAAAAAAACCCGATCCGATTGACAGTCGCGTTGCGCGCTACGCTGCGCCGAGAAGCGACGGAAATACATATATCCTAGACAAACGTTTAAACTCGTTGGAAAGGAACGATTGATCGTTAGCCGATAATAGAAACAAAACAGCTCGCTGAAGCGGCTAATGTGCCACTCCAATTCCCAACGATGACGGAAAGTTTGCGTGGGAATAGTTGTTTAATGGGATGTAATAATAGTTTGCGGGTAATTAGTCCCGCGTTGCGACTCGAAACCAGCCGAACGTAATCAGTTACGGGATGCGCCAGCCGGAATTCATTTAACGAACTACCGTTTATCCGTCGGTATCCATAAAAAGTATCACCTCCGCGCGCCAAATTGCTCTCACCTGCCGTCGTTGCGTCGCGCGTTCGTCGAATAACGGCAGAAAAATATAATTATGCGCGTCATATTCGGCCCTGCTGATATACGTTGACTGCATTAACGAGAGAGACGCGACGAATATCAGCGGCGGCTCGAGAGATCGATTCGCAACAAGAGCGATTTACAGTCAAACACGTAGAGGCTCCAAACGTCTCGACGAATCGACGAGGGGAAAAATTCGTGTTTGAAAAATTCACGCAGACTCGGCGGGATGTAAAAGAAAACAATGACGAATCATTGACGTTATCGCTCGATTACAGCGTTACCCAAGCCAGAAATTGTTAGAACTATCCTTATGAAACATAAGGCCCCGATAAGGCCGAAAGTAGGATGTCTTAAAAAGAAATTCCTCATTATTATCACATCAGACCCCGAGATGGATCTTTTAGGGGTGCCTTAGATTTAATAAATAAGGCTTTGATGGGGAAAACTGATAAGGATTTTAGAAGGATTTTTTAGGGATGCCTTAGATTTTATGAAATAAAACTTTGTTAGGAAAAGTTGAGAAAGGCCTTAGCAAGATTTTTTAGGGATGCTTAAATTTTACGAAATAACGCTTTAACATGGAAAACTGATATGAGCTTTAGAAGAATCTCTTAAGGATGCT